CAAGGAGCACAGCCAAGCGGACCGAGCTGGCGAGGTCCGTTTTGGAGGATTTGGGCTGCTGGGCGGGCAAAACGGACCACCAGAGGGAGAGCAAGGAGCACAGCCAAGCTGACCAAGCTGGCGAGGTCCGTTTTGGAGGATTTGGGCTGCTGAGCGGCCAAAACGGACCACCAGAGGGAGAGCAAGGAGAGAGAAAGGGACAGAGACTCACCGCCAGCTCTCGTGTGATGAGGTTGCCGTGCCTGTGTGCGCACAGGAACATGGACGTTATCATCGCACCCCACCCCCACCCAGTGGAAGAGCTGGGTAGGTCCGTTTTGGAGGATTTGGGCTGCTGAGCGGCCAAAACGGACCACCAGGGAGAGAAAGGGACAGAGACCCACCGCCAGCTCTCGTGTGATGAGGTTGCCGTGCCTGTGTGCGCACAGGAACATGGACGTTATCATCCCACCCCACCCCACCCACCCCAACCCCCAACCCCACCACCCCACCCCACCCACCCTAAAACCAGATGGTGTCGCAGATGAGGGGAAAATGGTGTCGCAGATGAGGGAAAATCAGGGGGGTTTTGGTGTCACAGATGAGGGGGATTTGGTGTCACAGATGAGGGGCTTACCTTATGTTCCCATGTGTTTCCCACAATGGCTATATATATAATATTATATATATGTAAATCCCATATGCCCCATATGTATATATATATAGTCAAGTTACTTTTTTCTGATATATCCATAATGATCACCAATGATTGGATTGGATGTATCCATAGTGAATATCCATCATGACATATCGATATATCCATATTGAATATCCATCATGATATATCAATATATCCATATTGAATATCAATCATGATATATCAATTGATCCATCTTGAATATCCATCATGATATATCGATATCCATATTGACTATCAATCATGATATATCAATATATCCACATTGAACATCCATGATGATATATCGATATATCCATATTGAATATCAATCATGATATATCAATATATCCATATTGAATATCCATAATGATATATCGATATATCCATATTGAATATCCATGATGATATATCAATATATCCATGTTGAATATCCATAATGATATATCGATACATCCATATTCTTCTCCATAAGGATATATCCATACAGCCATCTTGAATATCCATAATGATATATCGATATATCCATATTGAATATGCATCATGATATATCAATATATCCATGTTGAATATCCATAATGATATATCGATACATCCATATTCTTCTCCATAAGGATATATCCATACAGCCATATTGAATATCCAGAATGATATATCGACATATCCATATTGAATATCCATCATGATATATCAATATATCCATGTTGAATATCCATAATGATATATCGATACATCCATATTCTTCTCCATAAGGATATATCCATACAGCCATATTGAATATCCAGAATGATATATCGATATATCCATATTGATTGTCCATCATGATATATCAATATATCCATGTTGAATATCCATAATGATATATCGATACATCCATATTCTTCTCCATAAGGATATATCCATACAGCCATATTGAATATCCATAATGATATATCGATATATCCATATTGAATATCCATCATGATATATCAATATATCCATGTTGAATATCCATAATGATATATCGATACATCCATATTCTTCTCCATAAGGATATATCCATACAGCCATATTGAATATCCATAATGATATATCGATATATCCATATTGAATATCCATCATGATATATCAATATATCCATGTTGAATATCCATAATGATATATCGATACATCCATATTCTTCTCCATAAGGATATATCCATACAGCCATATTGAATATCCAGAATGATATATCGATATATCCATATTGAATATCCATCATGATATATCAATATATCCATGTTGAATATCCATAATGATATATCGATACATCCATATTCTTCTCCATAAGGATATATCCATACATCCATCTTGAATATCCAGAATGATATATCAATATATCCATGTTGAAGATCCATCAAGATATATCAATATATCCATATTGAATATCAATTGTGATATATCAATATATCCATATTGAATATCCATGATGATATATCAATATATCCATGTTGAATATCCATAATGATATATCGATACATCCATATTCTTCTCCATAAGGATATATCCATACATCCATATTGAATACCCATCATGATATATCCATATATCCATATTGAATATCCATCATGATATATCGATATATCCATCTTGAATATCCATCATGATATATCGATATATCCATATTCTTCTCCATAAGGATATATCCATACATCCATCTTGAATATCCATCGTGATATACCGATATATCCATATTGACTATCCATCATGATATATCGATATATCCATCTTGAATATCCATCATGATATATCGATATATCCATATTCTTCTCCATAAGGATATATCCATACATCCATCTTGAATATCCATCATGATATATCGATATATCCATATTGATTATCCATCATGATATATCGATATATCCATCTTGAATATCCATCATGATATATCGATATATCCATATTCTTCTCCATAAGGATATATCCATACATCCATCTTGAATATCCATCGTGATATATCGATATATCCATATTGACTATCCATCATGATATATCGATATATCCATCTTGAATATCCATCATGATATATCGATATATCCATATTCTTCTCCATAAGGATATATCCATACATCCATCTTGAATATCCATCATGATATATCGATATATCCATATTGATTATCCATCATGATATATCGATATATCCATCTTGAATATCAATCATGATATATCAATATATCCATATTCTTCTCCATAAGGATATATCCATACATCCATCTTGAATATCCATAATGATATATCAATATATCCATATTGAATATCAATCATGATATATCAATATATCCATATTCTTCTCCATAAGGATATATCCATACATCCATCTTGAATATCCATAATGATATATCAATATATCCATATTGAATATCAATCATGATATATCAATATATCCATATTCTTCTCCATAAGGATATATCCATACATCCATCTTGAATATCCATAATGATATATCAATATATCCATGTTGAATATCAATCATGATATATCGATACATCCATATTCTTCTCCATAAGGATATATCCATACAGCAATATTGAATATCCAGAATGATATATCCATAATCATCAACAATGATTGGATTGGATTTTTCCATATTCTTCTCCATAAGTATATATCCATACAGCCATATTGAATATCCAGAATGACATATCAATATATCCATATTGAATATCCAGAATGATATATCCATAATGATTGCTGTAGACATATTCCATGATTGTTGGTGAATTCCCCCTAGTCCAAAATTCACCTCGCCCCAGGTACTCTGCCCGACCCATGGTGGCACCTCGGAGTGGGTCATCAGCGGATGAAGTAACCAGCGGAAGATGGGCAGATGGGTTACCCTCTGGTAATGGCTGACGTAGCTATTGGAAATGGCCATAGAAATAGTTGATTTAACCATTAAAAAATGGTGATTTTCCATAGCTATGTTAGTTTACCAGAGGTGATAATTTGGGTTGTGGTTGGTTTATAACCAATATAGATTAATAGAAATTTGATATACATCAGTAGATGTATCTGTAGTGTAACTTATAAAGCTAGTTAATCAAGTTGTTTCTTACTTGAACACAGCCCGGTCCTGTTAAAGAAAAAGTGCCCCCCCGCTGTCAAGTTGCCTACGGATTGGATCAACACAGTTTGTTTGGATTCCCATGAAATGGGATGGATGATCATAAACCAGGTACCATGTTGAAGAACCCTAGCACATACCCTCTGGTAAACTAACATAGCTATTGAACATGGCAATTTATAGTTGATTTACCCATTAAGAATTGTGATTTTCCATAGTTATGTTAGTTTACCAGAGGGCATAACTTCCCAGGAAAGAGGCCACTTTTGTGTTTTTTTTAATGTGTTTGAAGCACCCATTTTGAGACTCACCCATCTTCATGATTCCTATTTTTGATGCTGGTCCCCGTCAATTGGCTGGTGAAATCACCCTTTTTGGGCACCAACCGATTTAATATTGCTGGTTTCATATCCCATGACATCACACCATACCCTCCGTACCCATTACATCCCACTATATCTCACAAGATAAGATATACAGTAAACACATATATTTATACATACATCATATATATATACATTATATATATATACACATTATATATATACACATTATATATATATACACATTATATATATATATACATACATACACATTATATATATATACATACATCATACATATATATATATATATATTATGTATAGTTATTATACCAATACATTATATATATATACAATATGTATGTTATCCACAAAGCAACCCGGAAAAAGACCTGTTCGTGATTCATCAGAATTTTAGAAGGATTTTTTGCATTTTCTGAATAGCTGTCCACAATATATCTCCGCAAAAAAGGTTAGTTTCATCCCCTCTTGTTTGGTTATTAGAGAGCCCTGAGTCTTGCCACCCAGGCCCCGCCACCTTGTACTCTTAATCGTCCAAGTCGCGTGCGGATGCCAAGAACTTCGCTGGCACGTCACTGGAATGATGGTTAGTACGAGGAACTATCCCCCTGAAAATGCCTAAATTTTAGGTCCTCGGCTAGTTGCTTTATTATTTGTCCAAATATTTTGATATGTTTCCGGGTATTAATATAATTGATCTAAGAAATTATAATTATTCGTTCAGGTTAGTAGGGGTAACCCATTCACCAGATCATCAACGGATTGTGTGTATGTCTTCAAGTCTACTTCACAAAGCAGTCAAACCATGCCAAGTGTAGGGCCCACGATTTTATGGGTTAACAGGTCACCCTCCGGTAATCGAACCTGGCAACCCAAAATGTTCACATATTGTTCTTATATGGGTATGGATCAATACCTATTAATACCATTTTTAGGGGAATGAACATCCATTTACCAGCTATTTTGATGTTCACCAGGGGTACAAGGTTTTGACACACTGCCATATTAAGATTTGGTAATTCCGATAGTTTTGTCTATTTCCTATTATGAAAAACTGTGCCACGTTTGATTGCTCTATATAAATGGTAGTAATGGCCGAAGAACACTGGTAAGTTTGAAGTTTCCCCAATTATCAATAGACTCATCGCAATTACATGCTGGGTTTTTGCCCATTTTGGAACCATCAGGGAAGGTGAGGGAATGTCAACCCACAGACCCGCATGCTCCATGTGAGGTTTACATCTACTCGACTCCATCTGGGCCTATTATTATGAACATATTAACACATATTGGTAATGTTTCATTCATATCCCAATATATCCCAGAAAATGTTAGATCATATCCCAATATATCCCAGAAAATGTCGCAGAATGTGGGATCCACCCAATGCCATTGTTACCATCCTTAAGTAACAAGTACTAATAATAATAATCATCAACATCATCAACATCATCAACATCATCTTTATGGTAGGTGTTTTTCAACCATCCGCAATCATGGTTGTTTTTGACGGCACCCTGGGTCCTTGGTCTAGGCACCTCAGACCTTCCGTGTAGCAGGCGCAATACGGCGGGTGGTTGATTTGAGAGATTTAAGAGGTGACAGTTGCAGGTGGTTTTAGTTGTTTAAACTAAGGTAAAACTCTGCTGGCTGGTGGTTTGGAACCATGGAATTTTATGACTTTCCATATGTTGGGAATTTCATCATCCCAACTGACGAACTCATATTTTTCAGAGGGGTAGGTATACCACCAACCAGTCTATGTCAAACTCTTTTTTGTTTTTCTGGATGGGAAAAGAAGACCTGTTGTTGCGATGCCATTGTTTAGGGTGAAGAACCTATTTTGTTCTGCTGAACCCTCCCCCAAAGTTTATTGATATACTGTAAACTATATAAACCGACTTTGGGACTTGGTCGCCTTGGCTGTTGGTTGGACTCACCTTACGTTCTCTGATGTTCTTGTTGGTTCCAACTTTATTTGGGTACGGGTCAGAATAACAACAATCCCCAAAATGGATGGTAGCATCCTTCATAGCAGTGACAACTCCTCGATTTGCTGATTTGGTGATCCTTGATTTTCCAATGCCTTCCCATGCCATTGGGTCTTCTGATCCAAAAACATCAAACGCAGCGGTCACAGGTCCCCACCCTTCACATGCAGGGTACCGTCCGATGGTGGCCCCCGGACGGCGGATGGACAGCGGATTGGGTCATGGCAAGTGAAACCCCAATGATTTGGGGGAAGCAACTGGTGAGTTTGGTACTTCACGACTTCCTCATCTCTTGCAGTACATGGGGGAATCATAGGGATATATATATATATGTAAAAACCTAACCAGTAGCAGACTGGCAGGGTATGAGAATAGATTGGCCATTTTCTGGAATTGGATAGATATTAGTGTTTATTTAGATGGTCATTCTGTTAAATTCAGTTACCATCTGGTTATTTAACATAGCCATGGAAAATCACCATTTTCAATTGGAAAATCCACTATAAATGGTCATTTTCAATAGCTATGTTAAATTACCAGAGGGTATCCAATAATGGAATGCCCTGGGTGCTCACCCTCAACTTGGGCCGAGCGGAAGTCATGGAGTGATGACAAGTGATGACATGGGGCGAACGGAAGTCATCTGGATGAAGCGCTCAACATCAAAGCATCAGATTCTACCCTCTGGTAAACTAACATAGCTATGGAAAATGGCCATTTATAGTGGATTTACCAATTAAAAATGGTGATTTTCCATAGCAAAATGTTAGTTTACCAGATTCTATCCCAATGGCCAACCTCAACCGTGAACTTCGGTGGATTTATAACCGTGAACTAACACCAACCGATAAAAAAAATCTTCAGCAAGAAGCCACAAGAAATCCCAGGGGTCGTTCAGACCAGGACAACCAGGGACCTAATCCATGAAAATCCCATTGAAAATCCCTGTTTTTTTGGCCACATGGAATCAAACATGGAATCAACCATTCCTTTATATTTTTGATGACCCGATCCAACCAGTAGGTTTTGCTGGGATTTCCTGCACCTAGAAAAACCAGCGCAAGCTGCGCGCCAGACGGTCGCCTTCCATGGATTTCAGGTAGCAACAAGGCGGGGGCAATCGCACATTTAACATGGCTGGGAGATCCCCGGAACCAAATGTTGTTGTTGTTGTTGTTGTTTTTAGGAATGAGATGGAATGATAGATTTTCCAGCATGCCATTTGTTTTTTTTGTTTTCCAGCAGCTAATTTGACCACAAATTGGGTTATAACATTGGCCATAGCGGCATACCCCCCGCTTTTCACAGACTCGTACAGACTCATATACCTTGGATCTTATAGTTTTTGTCAGGTACCAAATATATTTCAAATCGAGGGCTGTTTTTACCTGGGGAAACGTTGGGCGTTTACTTGCCATGCTCGGCCCTCAGAAAAACGGTGGTATAGCAACCCCAGAGAAGTAAATTCAATTCCTCTACTAATTTATATAGTCTGCTTTTAGGGGCTCGCCAAAATATAGATATTGACATATCTTGATAGTTATTCGATCTTAGGGCAGATCCCCCTATTTGTCTTGCACTCGGTACGGTTCAGAATGGCTAAACTCTAAACATATGATGTGGGGTTAAAGATGGTTAAAGCAATTGATACCAGGTTTTATTTTGCTCATGTGACATAAAAGGGTGGAACACCCTAAAATGAATCCGATCATTTTGGACTACATGCCAGTTATTTTTACATGCATCAACTATCCCCAAATTGAGGTTTGTATTTGGGTCCAATTTGAGTGTACCACATTGAATATCTGGTTGGTGGTTTGGAACATTTGGATTATTTTTCCATATTTTTCCCATATTGGGAATTTCATCATCCCAACTGAATTTAACTCCATCATTTTTCAGAGGGGTAGGTCAACCACCAACCAGAATCTCTTTCTCCTAAGATCAACACCCACGAAAACCCTGGCTTCGGAACCAGGATCTATTCATTTTGCATTGGAGAAATCGGATGCAGGGGGGTTCTGAATGATACCGGGATAGGACAAGGATGATATCGGGTTCATTTAAATCTGGTATGAATGTTTTGACCCCACGTTTGTAGTATACAATTATTGCCACTTAGGCTGATTCAACCTCATTTTTGTTTGCTTGTTCCTCTTCGGATGATGAAATCACAATTTTCGGATAGTTTTGGTGGTTATATGTTTTCTGGTTTCTAAATTTTCCTGATTTTTGTTGCTTGATACCCATCCATCTTGATCCATGTTCGTGGAAGTCTTAAATCTTGGGAAATACCTATCTTGAAACTACTGTAATTGAGAAGAAACTAAAGAGGTTCACCATACCCTCTGGTTATTTAACATAGCCATGGTATAGATGGCCCATTTATAGATGGTTTACCTGGGTTTACCTATTAAAAATTGTGATTTTCCATGGCTATGTTAGTCATAACCAGATGGTATTCTTGATCCTAACATGAACAAAAAACCGAAGGGTTTATATCCTAGCGGCCCTAGCCTCAACGTCAAGCAAGGTCACCGGGTATGACCATGGTGCCCCCCAGTGTTCGCTGGGTCTGAGGGCCACGGGCATCCACGGGCCACGCGGCGTTACGCAGCCATGGTCACTGTAATATACAGCTGGCTGGTGGTTTCAATTGATATTTCACATATAGAAAAATCCAGTGGTTAGGAGGGAGCCAAGGAGCCAGGGCTATTCATATTCCCTATTAAATATTATTAAATGGGGAGCCAAGGAGCTACTTAGAGTTTTCTACTCAATAGTATTATATTATATCATGAAACACGCATTAAAAAACCTAGAGCCTTCTAAGACGATGTAATATTAGCATATGATTATTATAACATTTAAAACAAAACTAAGAGTGGCCTTTCCGGACCATGTCGAAGATTTGGGTTTATAGAACAGGGAGACGTTGGCAGCTCCAAACATGGGATGGAAAGTCAGCACGTGCAGAAACCATGGAATTTGGGGTTGAAACCACCGAAACCAGTACAGAATGCAGACGAAGACGACTTTTTTCTGACTTTTTGTGGATGCGAAAGTTTGGATGCGGGTCAATTTACGAGCCAGGCTCGTCCCAAGAAATGCAGATGGTCTGATTTGGTCTCAACACCCAATGAATTCGAGCAAACATGTGTATCATGTGTTGCATATTCACTGGGACTCTTGACCCACTCCTATGTTGGTGTATATCTTTGATGTCTCCTCTTAAATTTTGTTGATACTTGGCACTCGCCACGTCAAACATCAGATGATATTCAAAGTTCATAGCTCGCCAATGTGTGTCGAACAGCGAGACATCACCCGGCCGTTCCAACTTGGCTGTAACTCGAGGATACTCGAGGGGTTTTGGAGGGGCTGCCTGTTAGGAGCCACCATGGCAACCTGACACGGCTTGCCTATAGCCAGATGTCCAGCCGAGCATGTTTCAGGCCCAGGTTCTACAAACAGATCCCACCAGAGGCAAAAGTCCGAAAAGCATTGAGGTTCATGGAGCTTCTAACAACTAAATTTAGGTACTTACAAATGTACTTGATACAAACTTCCCCCAAACAAAACCCAAGTTTTGTTCAAGTTGGATCTATGGATTTAAGTTCCCAACTGTTGAGGGCATTTGACATTAGGAAAATGGGATTATCAAAGTATTCCAACCTTATATATATATATACATATGATCATATATTTATATTTACATATATTTTATGTTTCATCCATCCATGATACTATACACTTTCGTGGCTTTCGAGGAGCAAGAACCTATTCGCCTCGCTGGAGACGTTGGTCATATCCCGATGGTATCCTGTATCTATTTGATGTTATATATACCCTCTGGTTATTTAACATAGCTAGGGTGTACATAACATCAGATAGAACATAGCTGATATATCTATCTGATATGGAAAGATCCACCATTTTATAGCTAGGTATAAACAATTTTTTTCTATGGGCCATGGCTTTTTGATGGCAAGGCAAGGCGGAGGATCGGCCAAGTCATTACCCGATGATTGGTTTGGTTGGGACGTAGCCTCTGGCAATGCCTAACATAGCTATTGAACATGACAAAAAAAAGTGGATTTACCCATTGAAAATGGTGGATCTTTCCATTTTGTGTCAGCCTACCAGGCCGGGTCAGTTGCCATTTTTGTGGGGCCCTTGCAGCACCTTAAAGGGGTAAAAATGACCAACTGATGATTTTTTTTGGTTGATTTGATAGACATGTCACATCTCCAGCCTTTGTATTTACCCTCTGGTTATGACTAACATAGCCATGGAAAATCACCATTTTTAATAGATAAACCCAGGTAAACCATCTATAAATGGGCCATCTATACCATGGCTATGTTAAATAACCAAATGGTAATTGATTTTGCTATGTATGTGTTATCAGTAGCTATATTCCTCTGAACTTGTCACCTGCATTCCATCGGTCATGGGGGCTGCATGACGGCCAGCTGGAGTGCATCATTTTACCATCCCGGTCAAACCGTGAACGTTGAAGGGATAATAAATCCCGAAATTGCCATGGAAAAATCAGGAAACACCACCACTTCACTTCTGTTGTTGTTGTTGCTGTTGCTGTTGTTGTTGTTGTTGCTGTTGTTGTTGCTGTTGCTGTTGCTGTTGCTGTTGTTGTTGTTGTTGCTGTTGCTGCTGTTGCTGCTGTTGCTGCTGTTGCTGCTGTTGTTGTTGTTGTCGTTGTTTTAATATATCCATGAATATATACCTTAATTTGGTGATTCCATCTGGATGATAATTTTCCATGTGTCTTCCAGAAAAACATGACATGTGACCTGCACTGCACCGCAGTGGTTCAAGCCCGATTATATAATATTATACAATACATTTCCAGAACTGCTGTCATCAATGCGTACATTTCACCATGGCATATACATGAATATACTATTCATCAGCTTGATATCATATGATATCATATGATAATATATATATATATACATATTCATTCTACATGTACATATATCTACTATATATCTACTATATGAATAATATGTGTATGTATCAATAGAAATCAATCGTTTTTTTCAAATGGGCAGGTCATCCTTGGGACTCAGCCCATCCCATGTCAGCCGTGTCCTGAATAAAAGGTGGCTTGAGCTGGGGCAGGCGGGCGATGGTCTAAAACCGTGGGTTTTTCCATGTTTTATGGTTGTTTTCCATGGCTTTTTCCACATGTCAATTGGAAAAAAACGTTTCGAATTACCGGGTGGTCGCAACTCCTGGACCCCGAAAAGGATGCGAAATTACATTCAACAAAATTCAATAATGCGATAAATGGATAAATCACAAAGCATCATGACAACTCATGACTACTCTGAGTGGCTTGAGTGCAGTACTTCTTTCAAAAATCTGATAACCAAGGTCATTCTCTAGGAAGTGCAATGTAGGCCAGTTTCATTGTGTACTTCTAGATCAGGTATTTGAATGTCAGTATGTGATCCATCAATGTGGGTTCGAAGAAAGGACATGAGCAGGACGGCAAATCGAACAAAATGACACCATCAATTTTGATTTATTTACGCATTATATGATGGCTATTGAACCCTCTGTCATCTCCAAACCTACTGGAAAAACTGGTTGGTTGAGGGCGCTCAAGCGCCCACATTAGATAAGTGCATCATCCCCTTAATTCATATCTCACCCAAGCTTTAACCGTATTCAACCAATCATCATTTCCGGAATCCCTCCCCATTTGGGGCAATCAAGCCCTTACCCTCTGGTTATGACTAACATAGCGAACTGGAATAGATGGCCCATAGAAACAGATGATTTTCCCAGCTATAAACCTCCATGTATTTCAGGGATCTTCCATGGCTATGTTAAATAACCAGATGGTAATTTCAATGGCCATTTCAGGAACCTAAATTGGAGGTACCTACCATATATAAGGCCTATGTAAGGCCTATGTAAGGCCTATGTAAGGGAATATCCCCACAATATATGGCCAAAAATATGGTACTAACGTACCTCCATTTTAGGATCCTGAAGATCTCCCATTGATAATTTGTTTGCTTCAAGCTCCAAGTTTCAGTGATTTTCAACCTAGAAGGCTGGCCATGCCTAGCGATGTCCAAGTTGCGCGAGATTCTATTGGCACGCGCCAAGGCGTGGAAGCCAATTGCAGCCCGAAATACCATGCCTAGCAACGGCTCTGGTTGGTGGTTTCAAAGTGACTTACCCTCTGTTTAACGTAGCTATGGAAATCATCCATTTTTAATGAGGTAAATCAATTTGTAAATCATTAGGAAGCGACTAAAAGGCAGAGTTCAAAACACTTAACTTCAGAGTTAATTGGGGGCTGTTTTGGTACAAAATGGTCGCCATTTACTTGGAAGTTTAATGTCTTCCAGAACTTCACATATTTTTGTGTCTTTCATCATATTACAAATGGGCCATTGTCCATATAACCCATAGGATCCATGTATGCTATATATGGTGACATTTACCATCAATATACCCCCAATGTTAGCATATATATACCATACATGGATCCTATGGGTAGTGATAAATAACCAGAGGGTATAAATACTATTTCAACCATAAGATGATCTCCCATGGCTCCCATCAAAAATGCCGAATGTTTCCAGAATTGGGGGATCGTCCGTGGCAGCACTTCTGGAGGAACGCAGCCAAAAAAGCACCCAACAAAAAGCCGAGACAAACTGTTTGTTGGCGGAATGAAAAGTTTCTCATTTTTAATAATTTTCAACATCTTGTTATATCGTATGAACATTCAAACCATGGGCGGGTTCCGATGATCTCCCATGACTTGGTTTCCCAGGCGTCAGAGACCGTTGGGTGTCTCTGAAAATGGAGCAGTATACCCGCAACATGGCAATTCTAAGGGGAGAAATGATGATTACCATCTGGTTATTTAACAGTTCGACATGGAAAGATCCACCATTTTTAAAAGGTAAACCTCTATTTCTATGGGCCATCTATACCATGGCAAACTGTTAGTCATAGCCAGAGGGTAACTTGATTTATGGGTACCATATTTTCCGACGCCGTTTGAAGCATGGAAGGCCATGGGCGGCTTGCGGAATCCCCACCACCATTCAGAGATTTTGGCGAACTGGGCTCCTTCATAGCTTGAACCCCTCTGGATGGAGTATTCCACATGATCATCAATACATATCAATACGCCCACATATGTTTTTCCCGTTGTTCATAGATCGTCTATGTCAAGCTTTCAACTCTTGAAAAGGAGATCTGTGGTTTCAATTTCGGATATTTCGGCTCACTCTGATGCTCTAGTGATATTGAACTTGGCCCCGTTGGTCTCTATTTATATAGTTGGCATGGATTTCTCCAAGTGACCAATATTCTTTAGTGGGGACCAGAGAGTAGACTTGCCACCACACAACAAATTGCTGTTACGCATGACAGTTGCATCCCCATGCATCCCCATAAGAACTGCCGAGTCAATTTTGTTTATAACCCATAGGATCCACGTATGCTATATATATATGGTAACATTTACCATCAATATACCCCCAATGTTAGTATATATACCATACATGGATCCTATGGGTAATGAGATATCATGAGATGAATGATCCGGATATATCGAGATGATACACAGTACTTGGACAAGAATTTTGTTACAGGAAACCAATATTTACCAAGAAGCTCAACCCCAAGACCCTTGTTGCCAAAGATCACATTTCCTTACATTATTACATGACTGATATGTTTTTTGTTCCTTCAGCTACTATCGGTGAATCCTGTGTACCCGAAGCAATGAAACGGAAACGCTTGGGCCATGCAAGTCCCCGTGATACTGCCATGATGCTGGCTTGATTGATCTTGAGGTGCTGTGCTTGACTAGTCAAGGATTCAGAGTCAAGTACCCTTGGGCGGGAGGTGCAGCGGATGGTCTGTAAGCGACTGTCTTGCAATCAGGGTTCCAAGTTCGTCCTGCATCACGTGGAAAGAAGGTGAAAGAAGCTCATGCCGAACAAAACTTTGCAACAGCAGGGCATAGCAAGTGCACCCTTTCCTGCACCCGTATATCCACAACTGTTTATGATGCCTGGCTCTATATCCAAGGCTTGCTCCCCTTCCAGTGCACTCTCATCCCTGCAAGACCTTCGAACTTCGAAAGTCTTGCTGAGGATGAGAGTGCACTGACGAAAATCAACTTTGCCATTTGGCAAACTATTGCGCTACCTTCCTCAAACACTTCAGACCTTGAGTTTTCCTACGGAATTTATCCAGAGCTTGAAGCGTGTGACCCTGCCAAGCAGCCTTCAATCTTTAAGTTTTGGGAAGAGATTCAACCAAAGCTTGGACCATGTGACCTCACCAAGTAGCCTTGAAAGCTTGACTTTTGGCAAAACAAATTGCCAGGGCTTAGAGCGTGTTTACCAAGTGGCCTCAAAAAAAAATCAGTTTTAGTTTTGGTGACAGATTCAACAAGAGCTTGGAGGGTGTGTCCTTGCCGGCCTCCAAAGCTTGAGGTTGGATGATAAGAGGGAGTCTGACATCGTGGGTCAACGGTTGGACATGCTGAGCAGCCTTCCAAGCGGCCTAAAAAGTTTAAGTTTTGGTGAGAGGTTTGACCAGAGCCTTGAACAAGTGGCTCTGCCAAGCAGTCTTCAAGATTTAAGTTTTTGCAGTGGGTTCAGACAGCCCTTACACCGCATGACCTTGCCAACTGCCCTTCGAAGCTTGAGTTTGAATGTGAATGTTAATCGGAGCATTGAGTGGATGACTTTGCCACGTGGCCTTCAAAACTTGAATCTTTTCGGATGCTTGGTGTGAACCTTGAAAGACTGACCCTGCCAAGTGGCCATCCAAGGCTTGCTCCCCTTCCAGTGCACTCTCATCCCTGCAAAACCTTCGAACTTCGAAAGTCTTGCTGAGGATGAGAGTGCACTGACGAAAATCAACTTTGCCATTTGGCAAACTATTGCGCTACCTTCCTCAAACACTTCAGACCTTGAGTTTTCTTACAGAATTTAACCATGAAGCGTGTGACCCTGCCAAGCAGCCTTCAATCTTTAAGTTTTTGAGAGGGATTCAACCAAAGCTTGGACCATGTGATACCATGTGACCTTGCCAAGTGGCTTTCAAGGCTTGAGTTTTGAGGTGCAGTGGATGGTGAGCGACTGTCTTGCAATCAGGGTTCCAAGTTCGTCCTGCATCACGTGGAAAGAAGGTGAAAGAAGCTCATGCCGAACAAAACTTTGCAACAGCAGGGCATAGCAAGTGCACCCTTTCCTGCACCCGTATATCCACAACTGTTTATGATGCCTGGCTCTATATCCAAGGCTTGCTCCCCTTCCAGTGCACTCTCATCCCTGCAAGACCTTCGAACTTCGAAAGTCTTGCTGAGGATGAGAGTGCACTGACGAAAATCAACTTTGCCATTTGGCAAACTATTGCGCTACCTTCCTCAAACACTTCAGACCTTGAGTTTTCCTACGGAATTTATCCAGAGCTTGAAGCGTGTGACCCTGCCAAGCAGCCTTCAATCTTTAAGTTTTGGGAAGAGATTCAACCAAAGCTTGGACCATGTGACCTCACCAAGTAGCCTTGAAAGCTTGACTTTTGGCAAAAGATTTAACCAGGGCTTAGAGCGTGTTTACCAAGTGGCCTCAAAAAAAAATCAGTTTTAGTTTTGGTGACAGATTCAACAAGAGCTTGGAGGGTGTGTCCTTGCCGGCCTCCAAAGCTTGAGGTTGGATGATAAGAGGGAGTCTGACATCATGGGTCAACGGTTGGACATGCTGAGCAGCCTTCCAAGCGGCCTAAAAAGTTTAAGTTTTGGTGAGAGGTTTGACCAGAGCCTTGAACAAGTGGCTCTGCCAAGCAGTCTTCAAGATTTAAGTTTTTGCCGTGGGTTCAGACAGCCCTTACACCGCATGACCTTGCCAACTGCCCTTCGAAGCTTGAGTTTGAATGTGAATGTTAATCGGAGCATTGAGTGGATGACTTTGCCACGTGGCCTTCAAAACTTGAATCTTTTCGGATGCTTGGTGTGAACCTTGAAAGACTGACCCTGCCAAGTGGCCATCTAAGGCTTGCTCCCTTTCCAGTGCACTCTCATCCCTGCAAGACCTTGGAACTTCGAAAGTCTTGCTGAGGATGAGAGTACACTGGAAGGGTGTGATGTTGCCAGCCGGCCTTCAAAGCTTGACGTTTGGCGAAGAGTGTGATGGCTTGGAAGATGTGATTTTGCCAAGCGGCCTTCAAAAATTGCTTTTAAATGGCGTTTGTGTGAGCTGCCGTGGATAAGCACAGATCCGAGGGTGTTACAAAGAGAAATGATGACTTGGAATTGAATGTTGGCCTCAAATGAAGAAACGTCAGGACTTTGACATCGTGGGCAGGTTTCTTTTCAAGGGAAACACGTACTTGATCGTGGTTGAGTTTTGAAAGAACTGTTGCCAGATGTTGGTAATTATTTACACTATATAGTACCGCAGAGATCCAAATAGGTTTCTGTGTGTTTCTGCAGTTTTTGCTCCTGTCGAACCTCTGGAAACCGTTTCACAACGCTAGCAAAACGCATCAATAAAGCTGCCATTTGCCACACCCCACGAGCCTCGACATCGCATGAGCATTTCCCACACTCGAAGGAGGCAAATTCAAAGCCAGCGGCAGTAATCATCCAAAATGTTGGGAAAAAACTGTGCTGTCCATCGTCTATACTATACCCTCCAGTAAATTAACAAAGAACCCTGCCAAACAGGCGGTTGGAAGTTAGTTTCCACTAACAATTGGTTGTTGTCCGGGTCTATGTTAATTGGCGGGTAATTAGCTTAAACTATACTGCGTGTTCCTTGCTTTTAACCAGTAGGTTTGGTATGGTTTGGTGATGAAGGTGAGCTAAGCAGTACTCATACCTGGGAATGTTCACTAAGCTGGGCAAAGAGTTGAATTTGAAGCAACTGCCATGGACATATAATTACAAGTTACAAGGATGTGACCAGGATGTGACCACTGGTATGCTATGGTATGACCAAATGGATCCAAATGGCCATTTCTTATTTGGGACGGTGATGTGCACTGATTCAGAACCAACCAGAATCAGAACCATGGCTTCTCCAATTTTGAGGTTCCCAAAAATGCTGATTCGACCTCATTTAGATTTAAACATGTTAAACATGTCGACTGTCTGTTTTTCATGGGCGCTTTCGCCAATTCACGATTTCTTTCCGGCGCTTTCCGGCGCAGGAGCCTGCGAAGATCCATCCTATTGAACGTCATGAGGAGGCCTTATTCGGGTGCAAATCTTGGGGATCAACCCCCGTTGGACCCCGCGGACTTGTCACAACGGGACCCAACGGTACGGGTTTTTTTGGACCCGCGGGTTGCGGGTTGTGGTTGGCGATCCCAAGATATCCATAGATATCCCAAGTCGCAGATTATCCCATGCAATTGTGAAGGATTCAAACCGAAGTACTACCGTAGCATTACTGACAATCGAACGGGTGGATGTGGTTGCGACAATCCCGAAAAATTGGGAAAATCGTTGGTAAAAACATGTGAAAAATGGGTTTGTCTCGGAACATGGCATCCCCAAAAGCCCATCATCAGGATTTTCCCCTGTTGAATTGCCATAACTGGTGGTATACCATGGTATAGCCATTTTCACATGGCACATCCAATTGAATATATTTGGATATATTTGCTGATTCTTGGTGATGTATATCCAACTGCATTCCCGTTACTGCACTTTTCTAGAGCTTAAAATGCTTAAATCAGCAATTTCCATTTCCATGTTCCATTCGATTTTCCAAAAATCCATTTTCCATTTTCCATTAAAATCCATGTTCCATTTTCCATTTCCGGTAAATGCTTTGTTTCTGGGACCCATTCCTCTCCCACGACCTATCTCCCTGGACCCGCAGCCAGGTGCCTGAGTGCTCACTGCCAGAGCCTTGGAGAGGATGCACCAAATGATTAGCCTCTGGTCAACTAACATGGCTTGTAGATTTATAATAGGTAGATCAACTAATGATCAACTATCAATAATCATAAGCTATGTTAGTAGATAGTTGATCTACCGATTATTAGATATGGTTATCAACATAACTATATGGAAAATCACCATTTATAATAGGTAGATCAACTATCAATAGGCCATGTTCAAAAGCTATGCTAAATTACTAGACCCTGTAGCAACCCAAGATGCCGAGAAGTCGAAAACCTGGAGACTGACTTTTGGAAAACAGCATCGAAGTACCATGCTGGAAATACTTCTATATTCTATAGGTATTTTTGAGGGTTACTATACGCTGAGCTAACCAACAAACATTGGAATCTTATGGGGATTTGAGCAACCAAATATCGTTTTTTGAAGCAACACATCTTGGGTTTTTGGGTCACCAACAATTAAAGTATTAGATGATTTCCTAGGGAATCTGTGGGTTTTTGCGCATTTTTACTGGCTATGGATTCTTTTGGTGTCTCCTTTTGAGAGAAATCCATGGATTCTACGACCACAATGACAATAGGATGTGTTCTTATGAATCTATGGGTTTTCTCCAAATGGCTGTGTCTTTTTTTAAGGTGTGCAGATTTTCATAAAGGCATGATGTTCGAGTTCTGCGAATCATACCCCCGAATCATACCCCGAATCATACCCCCGAATCATACCTTAAAAAATCACGATTATGAATGTTTCTTTTGGGATCGTTTGGGATTACTAGTTTTAATGGACCTGACAAGCTAATTGACCAGTGTTGGCCAGATCCGATGATCCCTGGCTACCTTCACGACATGAGTGGTGAATCTTCTCCACGCGTCTCATCATTATCCCTAAGCTGGCTGGCTCTGGGTGGCTGGCTGGCTGGCTGGCTGGCTGGCTAGGTGGCTGGCTAGTGGCGGCTGGCTGGCTGCGTGGCTGGCTAGGTGTATATGGCACCACCAGCATCGCTCCAAACTGCTCACACCACTGACAGCAGCACGCACAGCGGCAACAGCATGCCAGCTCCAAAGCGCTCCACGTATGGTATAATTACCAACATTTGAAACATTTTGGGGGTAAGTGTGGGTATATAACCATACGTCGAGGATGCGGGGAAACACTAAATCAAGGTTTTGCGAATCATACCCACGAATCATACCCACGAATCATACCCCGAATCATACCCACGAATTATTCCCCCCAAGACAAACATCCCGGACTGCATGCGGTATTTCGAGACATACCCATATGAACTAAGTTGCTGCATAGGGAGTCTTGTAATTTTTGTGGCAACAAACATGTTCTTAGGTCCTTGGTTCGTCTTCTTCATGGTGCACGTTATGTCGGCACATAATGTAGCAGCAACAGCAGCAAATACAATCATTCATCCATCACTCATCCCTGATCATTCACCAATCATCATAATGATAATGATAATGGTAATGATCCTCATTCTCATCGTCATCACCATCATCATCATCATCACCATCATCATCATCACCATCACCATCATCATCAGTATCAATCATTGTCACCATTTGTCCATCTTCATTATTATTTTGATTCTCCAAGGAGGCAACAGTACAGTTCCTGACAGGTGCATTTCAAAATGTGTTGAAATGTCCTTATGTCACACTTTGAATTTACGTGCTCTGCTGCACTGCGAGACTTTCTTGATTTTGTATAGTCCTGGAATTGGATGAATGCACTATCCACAGGAGACCTTTAAATTTGATGGTACGAACAATGATTTCGTCAAACCAATCCTTCACATTAATCCATTGACTATGGGTTGAAGGAAAATGCCTCGTAGTTTTTGCCAACTTTTCCACAGTTGGGTGGTTGTTCCACCACTTAATAGTTTGTTGATACTGCAGCCCTGGTGATCGTAAGTCACCACTTGGGGTGAGGTCATCCAATGTATGAATTGGGTGGGTACCAGACATGAAGATCTTGTGGTTGAGGCTGGATTTCCCTTTTTTAGATGCCCTTTAATGAATTAACATGAATTGACTAAATACTAGATCATCATTTTCGTTCACGGTTTGTCATCATTTCCCATGGTTTCTGACATGATAAACTCCCCATGTTCGTCGGTAAATCCTCGGAAACAAAGGAAAACTCCAAGCCACCGAGGCCACCAGTCAGACCGAATCGGCAGCAGAATGCGCCATCGTATCGGAGAAGGAACGACAAGGCGCCTGTAGTGAACCCAGATGGCACTGGTGAAGTTTGGTGGTGGAGAACATCAGATTCTGGTTGCTGGTTTCAAGTTTTTTTATGACAATGTTCCGTGCATATGGGAGGATAATTCCAATGAAGTCTTGTGTTCTTGCACCAGCCAAAGATTCTACGAACTCCTGAACTCTCGTGGTTGCAGGGTGGAACGGGATGATGGGGTTGCTGATGACGGTTGTAACTATTCCATATGTGTTACATTGTGTTACTGTTTAATCGGAAACATGTTGTTTCTTTAGCAGTGTAGTTAACCATCATTAACCAGTATTAACCATCACTAACCATTATTAACCATTATTAACCATCATTAACCATCATGTAACCATCATTAACCATCATGTAACCATCATTAACCATCATTAACCACTATTAACCATCATGTAACCATCATGTAACCATCATTAACCATCATTAACCATCATTAACCATCATTAACCATCATTAACCATTTTTACCATTATTAACAATCATTAACCATTATTAACCATCATTAACCATCATTAACCATTATTAACCATCATTAACCATTATTAACCATCATTAACCATCATGTAACCATCATTAACCATCATTAACCATCATGTAACCATCATTAACCATCATTAACCATCATTAACCATCATGTAACCATCATTAACCATCATTAACCATCATTAACCATCATGTAACCATCATTAACCATCATGTAACCATCATTAACCACCATGTAACCATCATTAACCATCATTAACCATCATTAACCAGCATTAACCATCATTAACCATTATTAACCATTATCAACTATTATTGACCATCATTAACCATCATTAACCATCATTAACCATCATTAACCATCATGTAACCATTATTAACCATCATTAACCATCATTCACCATGATTAAGCATCATTAACCATCATTAACCATCATGTAACCATCATTAACCATCATTAACCATCATTAACCACCAGGTAACCATCATTAACCACCATGTAACCATCATTAACCATCATTAACCATCATTAACCATCATTAACCATCATTAACCATCATGTAACCATCATTAATCATCATTAACCATCATGTAACCATCATTAACCATCATTAACCATCATTAACCATCATTAACCATCATTAACCATCATGTAACCATCATTAACCATCATTAACCATCATTAACCATCATTAACCATCATTAACCATCATGTAACCATCATTAACCATCATTAACCATCATGTAACCATCATTAACCATCATGTACCATCATGTAACCATCATTAACCATCATTAACCATCAGGTAACCATCATTAACCATCATTAACCATCATGTAACCATCATTAACCATCATTAACCATCATTAACCATTTTTACCATCATTAACCATCATGTAACCATCATTAACCATCATTAACCATCATTAACCATTATTAACCATCATTAACCATCATGTAACCATTATTAACCATCATGTAACCATCATTAACCATCATTAACCATCATTAACCATCATGTAACCATCATTAACCATCATTAACCATCATGTAACCATCATTAACCATCATTAACCATCATGTAACCATCATTAACCATCATTATAGCAAAACAATAAAGCCACTTCGCTGTTGTGGGATCTCATAGGTCAGCCATAAACTTCGAAACGTAACCTGTCGACTGTTGCGAGGTGAATCGGCAACCCGAGGCCGCCCCGGGCCATGGGAATCGGTGGGGACCTGGGGTCCGAAGACGGTGAAATCCGCCAGCAAAAGAGTGGTTTAGCAGGCCGGGATGGCTTTGGAAGTCGATGTGTTTCATATTTTCTCCTGTGATTTTGGCTGCACAATCACTATTTTTCTATGGAGGGCCCAGAATCCCAAATCACTGTTATAGAGTCACTAGAGCATGATAATGGCCTAGCTGACTTGAACTGTGATGTTTACAGCCCATGTGCCGGAACGAACTCGAATTATACCAATCAAACTTGCCGAAAAATTCCACATTTTAGGGCAATCCATGGCAAACCCAAAATTTTCTATTTTTAGTCTATCCCATACTCACACTATCCTTGGTCTATCTACGTAACATGGTCGCAGACAACGTCTCCAAAATGTACTGTAGGCTTTGATCCATTTCCATTTCCACATTGGCCGTATGATTTCATCTCCCAATTCCCTACAACTACCCCCATTAAATCCCAGTATATCACAATAAAATATAAAGTGGTTTTATAATGTTTTATACACGTACCCAGCAATATTGTTTCTGTTGATCAATTTCCACCCCATTCCCTCTTTTTTTGGTTGTGGTATAAATTCCTGACGTGTTTGGCCGATAGAAATAGACATAGAAAACCATCGAAATCTATAGAAACCGATTGGTATGAATTGGAAATTCATAGAAACTCATACAAATTCATAGTCGGACATAGAAGTCCGTAGGAAAATTAGTCGAAATCAATAGAAACCCATAGAAAGATCCATAGAAATCCGTAGAAATCATCCCCCATATCCCAGGTCGCGTTGACAGCGCCGTGGCAGGTCACCCAGCTGCCCCGCTTGGTGCCGTCAGAGCACGTGGTGCCGCCGCCAGCGCAGCCTGCGCCGGTGAGGCGTGGCAAGGCGCAGCGGGGAAGATGGGGAAGTTGGTAAAGTCATGGAAGAAATGGCTGTTGAATCCACGATTTATCCATATTTGTTATATGTATCAGGGACTTGAACGGTGTTTTATAAGAGGTTTCAACCATCAAACATATGCGGATATAGTTATAACATGTTATATGTTTATCCTAGTAAATACAAAACCTAGGTAGCCTAGGAATTCTTACTGCAGTGCAATTGAAATAGCTAGTTATTCGGGTTCATTTCTCCTAACTTCAAGTATTAACGCTTAAAGTTAGGTCCGAACGCTTATTCTTATGGCAACTTAGAAAAAAGGCAACATTTTGTTGCAGTCGCGCCCGAGCCGCGAACTCATTCTGAACGGATTTTGAACTCAATTGAACGGGTACAGCGACGCTAAATTTTTGTCTGTCGAGGATTGGTTTGAACAGGTCTGAACGCATCTAAATGGGCTTCAACTCGGTCAATGGTTTTGAACGCAGATTCGTAGAGCACCCTAGGAATTTCTGTACGGCAAGGGCAAATAACAAAGTAGTATTCAATTTTGCTCAGGAATTCTTAGGTTTCTGGTTTTGCCGGTTTATTGTACCCACATTGTGGCTCTATAGGGGCTAGTCATGATCCATGAAATACGTTCTTACCCACCCGGATTAAATGGAATGCCAGAGGTTTTGACACTCTTATTATTTGATCCACAATGTCATACGATATCCGCTAGCGGAAGAGTTTGGGGGTTGTTATGCCCTTTGGTGATCAGGCCATTTTTCCCTCCACTTGTGGAGGATTTTCAGATTTTTCATTGCCAATTGCCACATTTGATTACCGGAGGGTACATCGTAGTAGATCAACCTAAGAAGTGTGTGTTGGTGATGGTGGATCCTCATAAGGACATGGTGAGCAAGGTGGTACACCATGGTAAATCCTAAACATTCCTAAACCATGTTCCCCACAATGCTGAGCATTGTTTACAAAACATCCCCAGATCTGGAAAAATGGGGCTTAAGTGGGTGGTGTTTACGTCCCACCTAACCGTGAATCTTCTGACCCCTGGGAGAGATTTAGGGGATGTTCTGACCCTTTCCAACATGGGATCTTTGAAGTCAGCTAGTGAACCATCTGTGATTTGTAGGTCTCATCGCCATCGTGGCTTTTTGTCAGTGTAGGACAGTCTGAGACAGGCCAACTGTTTTGTTCCCGTGAAAGGTGAGTTCTTTCGAGAGAAATCATCATCGATGTATTCACTTTTCCACGCCAGCCTGTGGGCTCTTGCCGATCTTGACAGGTGCCTGCCTACATCAAAAGGCGGCAGGCAGGGGCCCAACTTGGGCCAATAGATTTGGTAACCAAACGTGGCAAGGGAGAAATTCCCAGGTGAATGCCCATAAGTTGCCCATTGTTAGTAAGGGGATTTCCCAGCGGATGCCATGTCTGATTACCGGAATGTAACCCGACAGGCAGAATTGGCAGAGCAAAGGCAGGAAACCCACCGCATGGGCATGGTGAGTAAGTGAGGGGGGTTGGATGCAGAACAGGATAGAGTATAGACTCTATAGACTATCATAGACCAGTAGAGTAGTTTACCATATTTTTGGTAGGCTTTGTGTGCATCCGTCTGGGGGTTGCTACAGTTGTTTTGAATTGCGACTTTTCCATCGGCATACTGAAACGCGTTCCGTGACCCATATCTTTGGCATAGGCCTTGACCACCAGTAACCGGGTCATGGAACCGTAGCCTGACGCGTGAAATGAGATATTCACCTGTTTGTCCCTTTGATTTGTTTGCATTGGATTTGCTCTTTTGAGGAAAGATTGCAAAGAGCAAGTCTAATGCGCAAAAGGTCTGCAAAATCCAACTATAATTACCCGTATAGTATGCCTTATAGTAACAATAGTTCAGCAATATACTTATATAATCTTATATATAACTTATATCTATAGTTACACGATAGTTCATATACCTTAATATACCTACTATAGTTCAGTTTGGCTTTGACACAAGGAAGTGTTCTTGAAACAAGACCACGGTGAAACACGGTGAAACTGCAGAACCTCAGCCCATGGAAAATTATAGAGTGGTGCTTTGAAGACCCTTGGTGGTTGAAAACATGGTTTAGTTCCATGAAAAAATGGAATGATGATCCGCACTGACATTTCTTAGGGACGTTGAAACCACCAACCAGATGCTGTATATATATATATGTTTATAAGCTTGCAGAGTTTGAAGATGCGATCCGTGTAGTGAATAGCAAGACAAGAGACAAGGACACCTCGATTTTTGTTGGCCTTGATGGCAATGTAGTACAAATGGTAATACTTCATGCAAATGGTACATAATAGTACAAAGTAGTAATTGTTGATCACATGCTAATACTTCATTTCTGGGTTGAGTCTTTGATTTAAGCTCCAACTTTGCCCATGTTTCTGGCCACAGAAACCTAAAGTTTCGCAAGGGGTTTCCTGGTCTCACGCTACAGGGTGGAGAATTTTTATGACCCCTTCCCAATGTTGCAACCAGTTTCGTTGGCTGAATGAATCTCCAGCTTTCTTGCTTACGTATATTGTATATATATATGTATTTGTTTATATGTTTATATGTCAGTGTATGTGCACATGATACATATTATACATTGCACCTACATATATATATATAATAATATATATATATATACAATTGTATACAGATTTAGATACAGACACGGTATATAGACATACAGATTACCAATGATTATGATATATACATTGTTTTCCCAGCAGAAATTGCAGCTGTCAAGGCGCTTGGCCAGCATGCCGCAAAAACCGCAGGCACCAGCAGGCTACAGGCACGCCTTGATGCTGGCTGAAGGATCTTTGGAAAACCCATCAGCTTTTCCCGGGAAAAATGTCGTCCGGATGTACACAGTAAAGAAATGGTTGGTCGTCCTGTTAGTCTTCCACAGAAAAATGGTGCGTTGATGGGAAAAAAATGAATGGCATTGTCTTGAATTCCATGAATATGTTCAGGTAATTTATCATTAAATGGACTTATCACAATATCTTATCCACAAAAAACGAATGAATATTTTAAGTGTTTGTAGAATTACCCAGTCTGTGGACTGTCGAATGTCAAGCACATGATTTAATATAATCTCACTGCTCCGTCGCCAAGGGGCTAGCCGGCGCTTCGTGTGGCTCAAGCCATTAGGGGGCTGAAGGTAGCACTGTAAATACAAGAACTTGATGCAATTTACCCTCTGGTAATTTAACATAGCTATTGAAAATGACCATTTATGGTGGATTTTCCATAGTTATGTTAGTTTACCAGAGGGTAGGTTTCTCCCAAGAACATGAGCGGAAACAACATGATCATTGAAATTACTGGAAATCAAACGTTGAGGCAAACGAACTTAACACGCCCAGAGCAAGTCCAAAGACTCTGACCCGGTCCAAAACCTTCCGGCCACACCATCTCATGCACCAAGAGCTGCAAGTGCTACAATTCTGTGGTGATTGGGCGAAATCTCTGAATTATGCCAAAACTTACGGGGTTATTCACTGTATCCACATCCATAAGGCCCTGCTATTTTGGTGTGAAAACCAGGGTACCAGGGTTGCTGGACCCCGGTCGTCATATCCAGCTGCTGGGACCTCTGATGACACTGGACCGCTGCCATTGGGGGGTTCACATGGTGTTGGAAGTATCGTTGAATCACATGGGTGTGTTTGGAAATGGGAATCCTCCATTAATCCTCCAATTTTGCAATTTTATAGTTTTGATAGGGAGAATGCTGATTAACCGGATAGCCTATTTCTTGACAAACCTATGTGATTTTCTATCAGTTCTAACACCAGTTTTTACCAGTTAAGTCATTAGCTAGATCTTTCCAGTTGTGCATTGATGGCTTGCCCCAACCCCGCCTTTTTTTGTTCAGCCTTTTTTGTGTCGAGGGAACTGGCTAGCATTGGCTAGCGGTTATTTTGTTTTGCTATAGACTTTGATGTTTCATGATGATATTAAGATGGCTTACTTTCATGATGTTAAATGATGTGTTAAATGAATAGTTAAATTATGTTCAGATGATCCTTTACAGTAGGTGTACAGCAAGTCCGCTTTTTTTCCTGGACTTTACCTTTTCTCTGTCGACTAAAACATAGCTGATGCATTAAATTGACCAACCATGGCGTGTGAACCACAGTCAAAATGGACGTTTTTTTGACCGATTGATGGGCAAACACTTAAAGTATGTGATTCACATTAAGATTGTCATGTGTTTTTCTTGATTCAATGAGTATTCGGTATTTTTTTGCTGCGAGAATTCCTAGAAGCCTAGAAGTTGTTTTTCTAACATCCGCCTTCGTGCGAAGTTAACGTTTCGTTTTGTTTAGTTTATGTTGATTCATTGGTTGTTCGGTATTGGTGAAACTTTTTTCAGTATAGCGGACCCCTGGCAGCTCCGTCTCAGTCCAATTGGTCGGTTCTACTTTGGGTTCCAAGTGGCGTTTCGCCACAAATGCAGACAGACATAAGATGATCTAGCACTTGTTTTGTCGGCTATCTGAGGACATTCAGCATGTTTTTTTACATATCTCTTAGCACTCTTACACTATCTTACACTTATTATCTGAGGATATTCAGATTCGTTTTGATGATATAACACATATAACAGGTTTAATCTCCATGTAACTTGGAGATTTTCTGATTTTTTTTTTGCGATGTGGATGGATCACACAATTTGAAGACCGATATCGCAGATGGGGACCTGTAGCATTTTGTTTTTCGAAAAAGCAATTACTCTACGGTAATTATGTACATACATATCTGATATTTTTGATGTGATATATGATATGTAATATATATATGTATATCATATCATATATTATATGTAATATATATATATATTGATATAGCAATGATGGATAGATCTCCAGCATTTTGATCATCTTCCCCGTCAGGAGCTTCGAATCTCCAACTTGGCGGGCGTGGAGCTCTGTGCGCTGAGCGTAGCCAGTGACTGGCAGGGCCGCCAGCTGAAGGAAGCCATTGCTGGGAAGACGCAGATCCCCTTGAGTGTCTTGGGAGAATTTGATGGCATTTAAGCTGTGAAAAGATAGGGATTTCATGGATTTAAGATCATTCGACCACAAAATCATAGTTTTTTTTTTAAAATGGGATTTGATCATTTTCATAGGGAATTCATAGCATTTAACCATCAAACATATCCGGGTTTCGTGGGATTTTAATGGAATAGTATGTTGGAATATCTATATAATGGATTATAATGGAATATCACTGGAAAACATCATGGAAATGACAGTTAGGATTTGACTTTTCGACATAAGGGATATATGGGGATACACGCAATAGTGGGATATTTTAGCACCTTGAAATTATTTGGGTGTGTCATGGTGTGTCTGAAATTGGGATATATCATGATATATCTCCAATGATGGATTATTATTGGAATTGGGGATACCTATTTTTCAGACAAACCATTTGTGGATTAAGATCGGGTATAATGTATGGTATCTTCTCTTCTTCATTTTGCTGATCTCAAGGCATTGCAAAAAAGTCTGTTCTCTTCCAAGTTACTGTGCCACAAAGTAACTTTGGAATTGACCTAATCTGCTTGGTGGTTTGGAACATTTTTTATGTTTCCATATATTGGGAATAGTAACCCCAACTGACGAACTCATTGTTTGAACACCACACGGCTTGCCAGGCAAACAGAAGTTGATGTATGGCACCACTTTGATTCGACCCTTGGGACCGACTTGGGACCTGTCGAACTTCCCATGGGACCTGTGATGTTGATCCCATAGGGTGGTGAGTCCCACCGCGAGTTGATGTTGGTTGTATCCCCAGATGTTTTTGATTTACCCTCTGGTTATGACTAACATAGCCATGGTATAGATGGCCCATAGAAATAGATGGTTTACCTAGCTATAACATGGTGGATCTTTCCATGGCTATGTTAGTCATAACCACATGGTACTGTACATCACCAGGAAATTCGAACGGGTTTCGTCCCGTTCTTTGGTGCATATCATATACATTTTTCTGCATCTCCATGACATGGTCCTGGTTGGCTGTGCCCATTTCTGGAAACATCAACCATTGCAGCCCTTTGAAGGAAACACGTTTCAGGTGCGTTGCGATTTAACAGAGACTGGTAAATTCCCAGGCATAGATGATGAGACAACTTACAGGAAAACCCTGTAGTCGTGGGTAAAAATCAAGCAGTTTCCGGTGAAGATGTTCCCATTAAACCAATCCATTGATAAATGTCCCATGCTGCACTGGAAAAGAATTTCAACCCCTCAACCCTCCTCTTGCCGATCCATGTGTGGGAACATCTATGTTTTTTTCTTGGTAAATATCGCTGTACCTTCAATTTGTCAGGCAGTGCAGGTTTAAATCCTATGGTCTCAATGTGAGCGTTTCATTGCTCAAGTCACGATTGTTTATTGGTTGACTTCTCCAATAGATTTGGTTGAATCTCCATGTTCCCACCTTCCATGGACCCAGTCATTGGCCTTTTTTGTGGGAAGTCCCCATTTCTAAATGAGAAACATGTCATATTACCATGTTTCATGGGAAACGAGAACTATTCGAACTGATGGAGACTTGGCCCAAATCCCGGAACCTCCTGGAGCAAAAAATCACCGCCGGTGAGATCCCTGATGTTTGATGATACCTCGATCACTGAACCCCAGCAAGAATCGTTGGTCATAATTTGCCCCGGCAGTATCCATATCCCCATGATTGGTTGAAAAATGTTAAGTTACACCCAATCAATGCTGGGAAGATGGTCAGTTCACCCATGTAATATGATGTAATATGTATATATATATATTGAATATACATAAATGTACCATGTCAACTACATATCATCCATTAATATTGTATATATATATATATGTAGATCTATGATAGATCCATTCGGGTCCCGAGCCTTTGACCGAGGCAACACCGATGTGCTGAGCCAGATTCTGGGTGGGGGCGATGCCGAGAAGGAGCTGTTGCTGATCCGGCAGGCGCCATGGTGGGAAAGTCATGGGAAAGTCCTGGTGGATAGTGCAGTCTTGGTAGCTCAAAAGGTGAGGCCCCCTGGATTGCTAAGTTGGCTTGTGCCAAAAAAAACATGCTGCTTGGTGGTTTCAAACATGTTTTTTTGATTTTCCATTTCATATTAATGGGTTGTCATCCAAACCCCATTGACGAAGTCAGATTTTTTCAAGATGGGCACATTGCACCACCAACCAGATTGTAATAAGTCACCTGTAGATCCGGATGCCTTCGACAATGATCGGTCGAAGTGTGCCTCAGAATGGCCCAAGGGGCCCCAAAAGTGACCCGACTGATGCTCCGACCTTTGTGGAGAAATCAGGTCGGTGCGGCGGTCTCCCGAGGGGGAACCGTGGAGTGTAAAATGTGAAGTGTGAAGTGTGAAGTGTGGAGTGTGGAGTGTAAATTGGAAAGTGGAAAGTGGGAAGTGTAGAGTGTGGAGTGTAAAATGTGGAGTGTAAAGTGTAAAGTGTGGAGTGGAATGTGAACTGTTCAATGTAATAGTGGAAGTGTGGAGGGTAGAGTGGGGAGGCCGAGTCTCGAGTGGCAAGATAGAACATCACCAAGCCTGCCGCGCGCACAATGGCACCAAAGACGAAGACAACATCGTACCTCCCGTAGGCGTGCCAATGTGGAAAGCGGTAATTGCAATCACGAAACGGTCCCAAACACTGCACTTGCCACGCCAAATGACATTCCACACCCGACGGATCTTCACCAAATGCGGCATGCAGTTGCATGGACCCATTTGCAATGGCGGATCTCCGCCTAATAATAACCGAGAGCGCGTGCTACATCATAGATCCGTTCTTGCTTTTGATGCTGGCCAGGGTTGGGTTGGATGCTTGCATGTCACGTTGGCCTCAGTGTTTTCTTGTGTAGTGCCATGTCAATAAGCCCAGGATGGTTTTTCTTTGTTGGGGAATGCATGACACGCTCCTATGATTTGGGCGGCTTCACCAAGTACAGCGATCTCCCTCCTTGTTTCCATGTTGCCCTCGCGACCAAACACGCCAGCCCCACCATCGTGACGATTCTTTCCATCATGAAAATATGCTTCTGGTATCCTACATTCTCTTCAGATGCTGAATATTGCCGTATGATTTTTGTTTTGGAAATTTTCTAGTGGATATATCTGAGAGAGATATGCTGCTTCCTGTTGCCATATTGAGGCCTACCGATCGAACAACGCTTATGCAGAAGCGTGTCTTTGGAAAAAAAACATCCGCACAATGCCTTTTTAAGTTCCGGGCTGGGTTGGCAAAAACCACAGTGCTGGGTTTGGTTTGTTTGCCTGCTCGTCGTTTGAGAAACACTCTTGCTGGAAACGCTGGCCTGGTAGACTGGTAGAGTTTCTTTTTCAGGGGGCATGTGAGGTGGGGTCTAGGATGTTGTTTCGCTGAGTCTGAACTTCAATGGATGATTTTGTTTCGCTCGGTCCACTATTTTTTTCATTGCCCGAAGAGGTAATGCAATGCGCGTGCAATTATACCATGGCCATGGCCCATGTCCTGGATTTTTTTGATCTGTATGTGGTGCAGTGCATCCATATAAACTAAGTTTATTTTTTTTTACCCATCCTTACTTGCACGGCGCATGCAGAGAAGGATAAAAAATGCCGGTATGGAGTGGAAGGGTATAGTTACCAACAAAATCCATTAAATCGAGTAAACTTGAATTGAAAGATCGTTATTTTCCAAAAAATCTGAATGGCATTGGGCACAAACTGCGTCTCACATTGGTTCTAGGCTCCATTCACCTAGACAGTACTTGGGATCCACAGGGTATGTACCGCGCCAAATGAGATATATTATAGGATCATGTCAAGTTGAGTAAACCCAGGCAGTGGAAAACATGCAACCACTGCGGTCTCAAAGAACGAAGCTGAACGTGGACAACCCACCAAGCTGTGGATCAAGTTTTTGATCTCCATTCAGACGGCAGTTTGATGGCTACCTTTGCTGGGGTTCAGAATAATTTGCCAAACGTAAAAAAACAAGGGTTGAACATGATTGAACGCCCACGCAGAAGGATAAATAAATGCAACTATAGCTTTTATTTGTTTAATCATTGTTTATAGAATGGGCTAGCGCCCTGTGCCGCCGACCCCCCCTTTGTGGGGGTGGCAGGGCAGGATCAGTAAATAAAACCACAGGAGAAGTAAAGACTTTCAAGACCTACACGAAACAGACAGGTGGGAGCTCGAGTTGAGTCCAGTTTGTCTACCTGCGCATTTGGGAGGAGCTTCTAGGATTTTTCCAGAACAGGTCTTTGACGGGTGGGTTGCGCATCCTGGCACTACGTTCTGATGCTAAACCAACCTTCACTGTAGCAATTTCTGGCCGCAATGGTATCGGTTCGAAGTGTTACTTCCATTTGGGCAATGTTTTGTCGTTGGGATTATGTTTCAATTAGTGAAGAGGCAGCAAAGGATGTGAAAAGAAACCTGAACAATTGAACGTTTCTGCTATGTGCTGCATTTCAATTCAACAACGAAAGTTGGTCAGCCTGTGCTGCATTTTATATATATATATATATCCGAGCCGCGGAGGGTTTTAGGGGTTTTAAGGGTTTGAAGGCTGGCAAACGGCAGGCTCGAATGCCCTAACGAGAGAGGGCTATGTGCAGGCAAAGGAGGGTTTTAGGCATTTTAGGGGTTCAGAGGGCTTGGTGGAAGCTGCCGCGGAGCGTTTTAGGGGTTTTAAGGGTTTGAAGGCTGGCAAACGGCAGGCTCGAATGCCCTAACAAGAGAGGGCTATGTGCAGGCAAAGGGCAGGCTGCAACCCTGGAGCAGCAAAGGCTGACGGCCAGAGGCCTTGGTGGAAGCTGCCGCGGAGGGTTTTAGGGGTTTTAAGGGTTTGAAGGCTGGCAAACGGCAGGCTCGAATGCCCTCACAAGAGAGGGCTATGTGCAGGCAAAGGGCAGGCTGCAATGCTGGAGCGCTGACAGCAAAGGCTGACGGCCAGAGGGCTTGGTGGAAGCTGCCGCGGAGCGTTTTAGGGGTTTTAAGGGTTTGAAGGCTGGCAAACGGCAGGCTCGAATGCCCTAACAAGAGAGGGCTATGTGCAGGTAAAGGGCAAGCTGCAATGCTGGAGCGCTGACAGCCAGGAGCTTGGTGGAAGCAAAGGCTGACGGCCAGAGGCCTTGGTGGAAGCTGCCGCGGAGCGTTTTAGGGGTTTTAAGGGTTTGAAGGCTGGCAAACGGCAGGCTCGAATGCCCTAACAAGAGAGGGCTATGTGCAGGTAAAGGGCAGGCTGCAATGCTGGAGCGCTGACGGCCAGGAAGCAAAGGCTGACGGCCAGAGGCCTTTTGGTGGAAGCTGCCGCAGAGGGTTTTAGGGGTTTTAAGGGTTTGAAGGCTGGCAAACGGCAGGCTCGAATGTCCTAACGAGAGAGGGCTATGTGCAGGCAAAGGAGGGTTTTAGGCATTTTAGGGGTTCAGAGGGCTTGGTGGAAGCTGCCGCGGAGCGTTTTAGGGGTTTTAAGGGTTTGAAGGCTGGCAAACGGCAGGCTCGAATGCCCTCACAAGAGAGGGCTATGTGCAGGCAAAGGGCAGGCTGCAACCCTGGAGCAGCAAAGGCTGACGGCCAGAGGCCTTGGTGGGATGTGCAGGCAAAGGGCAGGCTGCAACCCTGGAGCAGCAAAGGCTGACGGCCAGAGGGCTTGGTGGAAGCTGCCGCGGAGCGTTTTAGGGGTTTTAAGGGTTTGAAGGCTGGCAAACGGCAGGCTCGAATGCCCTAACAAGAAAGGGCTATGTGCAGGTATAAAGGGCAGGCTGCAATGCTGGAGCGCTGACAGCCAGGAGCTTGGTGGAAGCAAAGGCTGACGGCCAGAGGCCTTGGTGGAAGCTGCCGCGGAGCTTTTTAAGGGTTTTAAGGGTTTGAAGGCTGGCAAACGGCAGGCTCGAATGCCCTAACAAGAGAGGGCTATGTGCAGGTAAAGGGCAGGCTGCAATGCTGGAGCGCTGACGGCCAGGAGCTTGGTGGAAGCAAAGGCTGACGGCCAGAGGCCTTGAAACTTGGTGGAAGCTGCCGCGGAGGGTTTTAGGGGTTTTAAGGGTTTGAAGGCTGGCAAACGGCAGGCTCGAATGCCCTAACAAGAGAGGGCTATGTGCAGGCAAAGGGCAGGCTGCAACCCTGGAGCAGCAAAGGCTGACGGCCAGAGGCCTTGGTGGAAGCTGCCGCAGAGGGCTTTAGGGGTTTTAAGGGTTTGAAGGCTGGCAAACGGCAGGCTCGAATGCCCTAACGAGAGAGGGCTATGTGCAGGCAAAGGAGGGTTTTAGGCATTTTAGGGGTTCAGAGGGCTTGGTGGAAGCTGCCGCGGAGCGTTTTAGGGGTTTTAAGGGTTTGAAGGCTGGCAAACGGCAGGCTCGAATGCCCTAACAAGAGAGGGCTATGTGCAGGCAAAGGGCAGGCTGCAATGTTGGAACGCTGACGGCCAGGAGCTTGGTGGAAGCTGCCGTAAGGGATGGACGGCCAGAGGGCTTGGTGGAAGCTGCCGCGAGGGATGCGCAGGCAAAGGGCAGGCTGCAACCCTGGAGCAGCAAAGGCTGACGGCCAGAGGGCTTGGTGGACGCTGCCGCAGAGGGTTTTAGGGGTTTTAAGGGTTTGAAGGCTGGCAAACGGCAGGCTCGAATGCCCTAACAAGAGACGGTTATGTGTGCAGGCAAAGGGCAGGCTGCAATGCTGGAACGCTGACGGCCAGGAGCTTGGTGGAAGCTGCCGCGAGGGATGTGCAGGCAGAGGGCAGGCTGCAACCCTGGAGCAGCAAAGGCTGACGGCCAGAGGCCTTGGTGGAAGCTGCCGCGGAGGGTTTTAGGGGTTTTAAGGGTTTGAAGGCTGGCAAGCGGCACGCTCGAATGTCCTAACGAGAGAGGGCTATGTGCAGGCAAAGGAGGGTTTTAGGCATTTTAGGGGTTCAGAGGGCTTGGTGGAAGCTGCCGCGGAGCGTTTTAGGGGTTTTAAGGGCTTGAAGGCTGGCAAACGGCAGGCTCGAATGCCCTAACAAGAGAGGGCTATGCGCAGGCAAAGGGCAGGCTGCAATGCTGGAGCGCTGACGGCCAGGAGCTTGGTGGAAGCTGCCGCGAGGGATGTGCAGGCAAAGGGCAGGCTGCAACCCTGGAGCAGCAAAGGCTGACGGCCAGGAGCTTGGTGGAAGCAAAGGCTGACGGCCAGAGGCCTTGGTGGAAGCTGCCGCGGAGAAAAGTTCCACACCTGCGGTGGTCCCAGGCGCCGCCCCGGCCTTGGCGAAGGCCGGGGTCGGCGGATAAATTATAGATCTTAACCTTTGTATATTGTTGTGTCATGGGGCTTAATTACCGGATTACCAGCCCACACTCAACGTTCTGTTGGGTGGCTCAAACGATCTTCCAAACGTGCCGTCAGACTGTTGACTTCGACTTTTGGTTGGATGAGATTAGTACTTCGGCTGGGAATTCTTCAGTTTGGTGACGTGGAAAAACACACACACAACTAATATGTATTTCAATGGGCACCCACCCTATTTTGCTTGGTGATTTCAATGATTATTTGATGTTCAACCATATTTTTGAGATGAGTTGGCCTTTATTCATTTTGGGTTTTTCCACCAGACAGCTGGGACATTTTTGGTCGGGGTAGGGACATGGTATTGTATCAGAAAATGGGATTCTGATGGACAGCTGGGCCAAACAAAAACGGAGCAAATCCCAAACCTTGGGATAGTTGACCAAAACGCCAAACGTCCGACAGCCAGTAATCTCCGGCACACGGGTTTCACCATGTTCAAAGATGTTCAAAGTACTTTCTGCGCGCGTGTGCAGAAATTTCATGCCTATTATTGTGGATATGAACATGTTTGAAGTGGTCTCCAGTGAAATCCAGTTTTTTTGGTGATCAAACTGATTAAACAATTTGGTTCCTGCATCTCCCCTGAAAAAATTGTGGTTGATCTCCTGCCAAGGCCGGGACTATCGACGACTTCGAAAAGCACCTGAGGCACCCCTGGCGGATCTGCATGCAGCCAAGCATAACACGATTCTTTGGTGGTTCACCATCCGCTTAATAGGGGGGCTCACGTGACTTAGCCAATAAATCATGAAACACACCATCAAAATATGGCCGGATGGCCGCATAGCCAACTTTTTTTTTTTCGCAATTCAGAAAGGGATTTAGCCTGAGGGCACTATTTATGGGGTTGGAATATGAGAGGTGATTATACAATAACCAACAGTATGACATGTGTGTTTGTCCCAATACGGAGTACAGGATAATTACCCCTCTGGTAATTTAACATAGCTATGGAAAATCACATTTTTTTAATGGGAAAATTGGGAAAATCCACTATAAATGGTCATTTTCAATAGCTATGTTAATTTACCAGAGGGTAAACCAAAACATTGCACTTTTATGCAAGTTGAAATAGGAACATTTGTGTTGAACCAATGGATTTCAGGTCGTGACAGGTCGGCCGTGAGTCTATGAGTTTTTTCGCGGCTAGCGCCCATTTGGGCCAACAAAAAACCACGGATTTCAGGATGGATATGGATGGATAAGCAAATGAGACCTTAGCCCCAGTGATAGTGGTGGAAGGTGATTTACGTGGTTATAGCCCAGCTCCCAAACCTCGCAGACCTTCTAGTATCAGTCAAAGCTTTAGGTCAAACCGAAGAATTCCAGGCACCTCTTCTCGCTGAATCCCATACCTCTCGAAGATATCCAAGTCCCTGGCATTCCCTGGCAATGTGTTGTGCAGTCCCAAAATATGTCGAATGCTGTGACGGTCTGACGGGTAGCCGTGGCTTGATGGTTTAGCCATTGGAAGACCATTCGAATCACCTGATTTCCTGTCAGATCTTGTCATCCATCTGGATATGATCTGTGGTGATATAGCAACCCCCCAAGTTGCCCAGAAGGTGGATTACAAAAATAGTGATAACTTACCAAATTCTATCTTTTCTGGGGGATACTATAAGAATCTATAGAATATACATTGAATATACCATGTTTTTTCAGGTTTGGATTTGGGACAGAGCATTTTCATATTTTCTCTACTCCAGGAGGGAACATGGCCCCGTGGCAATTCCATCGAATAGAAAAAACCATCTTACATGGGCCCCAAACATCAAAAGATCCAACGCTCCAACGCATGGTTTCAGGGTGGGTGTCTATTAGGGGAGTTCGAATGTCCCACCAACCAAAAAAAAGTAATCTTACATTCATATTACACTGGATCATGATCATCCATTGAGGCAGTTGGTCTCGTGGACACCGAGAAACTTCACTGTTTTCAGCAAGCACCATTTCTGGCATGAATATCGATTGCATCCCATTCTTCAAAAGGATTGAAATCCCCAGTGTGAATCTAGATAATCTAGTTGGTGGTTTCAAACACATGTTACTTTCAACTCTAAAGATGAGATGACCATCCCAATTTCAACTTCCATATTTTTGGGACAGATGGCTCCAAGTACTTGGCAATGGGGACGATCGTCAAAATTGGCCAAACTAAGATAGTGTAATTGATGATATAGTTACGAAATAGAGGGTTGATGATTCAAGGATCATCATCCAACTGTTGAATCCCAGCAAAAAACACCAGGATGACACCCCTTGCACTAACTGGGACGTTGCTTGGCGCAGGAATTGCGCGGTGACCCCCAAGTGGTGATGGAGGCCATAACTCAAAACCCCCAGGTGCCGTGGCACCGTGGGCGACTGGTGCGACTTTTGGAACGTTTGGAACCCACCGGGGAGACTTTGGGATTTCTGGCTGAAGACTTGGGATGAGTTGGGCAATATCAAGATCTGGGGTAAAGACTAAGAGGTGACGGGTTGCTGACGATTCTGTAGGCATTTGGCATTTGTTGCTGAAAATGAAGAGGGTGTATCTTTGGGAGGGCACGTTACAAAATCTGACATGAATCCATGGTCCTGCTGTTCAAAAGAAATGCTGTTAGTCTCACATATGTGGGTTCACTGTTTAAACCATCAGTACCAATCTTGGTGTCTCCTTTTTTCATTGGGTTGTCTTAAATTGGGAACCCCCAAATCCCTGGGAAAATCAGCATGTTCTTATTGACCACAACTTGGGATCATTCTCACCCATGCCATGATCAATTTCATCCAAGTTGACCACAACTTGGGGGTCATTGTCATGCCATCTTGATCAATTTTGAGGCACACCAATAGGACTCTGGTCCTTGCTAGGCGATCAAATTTGCCGCAGACAGTGTGAAAGCTGACAGCAACTCGGACATCGGACAGATCATGTGGCCAGTGGGAAGATGCGCGGTTGAGACAACCAGCGGATTATTTTTCTGGGATGTTTTAGCCATTGTGACAATCAGAATTCATAATTCATAGCTGGGATAATTCATCATGCTAGGTATATATTGGAGACACATCATGATTGGAGACACATCATAACATAATTCATACCTGGGAAAATTATCCTGGGAGCATTCCCGACCATCATGTTCAGAGGGCTCAACTAGCAGTATCCAGTATCCCCCATCTTTGTTTTCAATTTTTCGCAGGTCATTGCAGGGTTCTACCAAAATGCTGATCATGAAGCTGGATCGTATTAAACATGATGAAGGGAAACCCTCAAAGATCGAATTGTTGGTTGTATGTATATCTATATCCTTCATATATTGTCCCAATTATAAATATAGTCCCATTAAATGCCACATGCTATGATACCCCCTACAATCCCTATCTTTGACGGTTAGATCTCCTTCAAATTATTGGTCTGATATCTCACTCATGATCATATCACCACTATTACTGCTCATATCCCTCTCCTATCCCTATGATCATTCTTTACATCCCTAATTATTCTGGTTGGTGGTTTGGAACCATGGATTTTTATGACTTTCCATATATTGGGAATTTCATCATCCCAACTGACGAACTCATATTTTTCAGAGGGGTTGGTTGAAACCACCAAGCAGTATTTTTTTGTTGTCATATCCCATCATGGTATTTTTTTTGATCTCATTACAAAGGTTACCCTCCGAGAATCCGTGGCTATTCCCAGAGGCTCCCCTTTGACCAAAGTCACCCTAGCGTCCCATGGGGGTCATGGCTATATCGCCATAGACCCACCATCCCCCCAGTCACCCCTTGGTGCTATAAACCATTCCCAGTCATGGGTGGTTTATTATGGCCTTGATTTACCTCACATGATCCCGATATTTTTTTTTTCAAAGCGCTGTTTTGGGCGACTAGGGGTTCACCTCACTGAGGAGATTGTGCCTTGAAGGCCCTCCAGGCGGATTGGACTCTGCGCCTTGGAAAAACGGGCGATATCATGTGGATATGATGGGGGAAATGTTCCGTGGCGAAGTTTCATGGCTCGCAAGAATGACCAAGTGGCCAATGATTTTTTTGAATAGTGAGAATTTGACCATATTCATATGGCAGTGTGTCAAAACCTTGTACCCCTGATGAACATCAAACTAGCTGGTAAATGGATGTTCATCCCCCTAAAAATGTATCTATAGGTATTGACCCATACCCATATCATATCCACTTTATGTGGAGAGGGTTGCAAATTTCAACGTCCCTCAAATCCCAAACTTCGCCCTTGGGCCCTTGAGCCCAGGTACACTTCCATTGCTCTGGAGCTCTGGGACGACCGCACTTGGATTGCAGGGTGGGGTTCTGGGACTTTCGGTGACAACGACCGAAGGATTATCCCAGAATTGAATGATGGATATGATGGATATGATGGGAAATCTGCAGGAACACTTTCCATTTGATGGCAAGAACCTGCAGGTTTCCTCGAGATTTTCTCGCAAGAACCGATCCATTGTCTGTCCTCATTCACCAGCAGCGCTCAGGAGAAATCGCCCTGCTGTTCGTGCCAAAGTGCCCCCGCCTCTTCAGCAAGCTATCTCCACAGCTGAAACAAGACGGAGAGCTGCTCAGAGCGGAGAGGAGAGGAGGTAAGATGCCTGCAACTTGCTATTGTGAGAGCTATTTTCCCATCAGAATCATAATACCATATACATATATATGCAATATATATATATATACACTGTATAATATAAAAATATATCAAAGAACATATCATACATATTATAGGACCCCGGAAACAGATAGAAAAGCAACATCCTACCAAAGCAGTGGTAAAATTTCACCTTGTCTATTTTTTTGGGTGCTAGCACATGATGTATACAAGTTAGTTCTAACCATGTATGGTTAATCATGGGAATCCGGACACCACGGCCACCACGGGGTCGGGTGTCCGCTTTCGACAAATCCAACGGAAGGGTCTTGGGAGTTCCCCCAACTTTACGTCACCAATGGGTTTCTCAACTGCTTCCACCATGAATGAAGTCCTCAAAACAGTCGTTCTGCAGCCTGATCATGGCAGCCATGGCAGGGTCGTCGCCCTGCCCTTCAAAATGCGTGATTTGATATATCCGTACCAGTTCGATTTTCAAGAAGTCAGAGATTCCATTGACGTCTGAAACCAGGTGTGTCTGAAAGTGAAAAACATATATATATACAGTATATATACAGATCACATACCCCAATTTCAATTATCCCTAATTTATGGCCATCAAACATTTGGAAAATGGATGATGAAGCAGTAGAATCATTAGATTCATTGGCAGGTACCCACCATTTTCAGACAAGCCCAGACATTTTTTCGGGGCCCCACGGCCCCCAGGTTGGTCAAGGAAGTGCTATCGAAGAACAATGGTCCCACGGCCTGTAATCCTTGTGGATCCAGGGTTCCCTGATATGGTGAAAATGGCCATAGAAATAGTGGATTTATCCCATGAAAAATGGTGGATCTTTCCATAGCAAAATGTGAAAGTTTACCAGAGGGTCAATTTCCTCTGGTGATCAAACATGGCAAATTTGAACATACTTGAAGATTCCCCATTTAGTTTGATGATGTTTGATGCTTTTCATATCTAAATGCCGAGTTGGTTCCGGGATTTCCCAGCCATGTGGCTGACATTGGCTGAGGGTAACACGGTTTTTATCGAACACTTGTGGCTGATAGTGAATTCCTTGGCACCAGTTCTTTATTTTTCCGACTTGGCATTGGTAATCCAACAGACAGGTATCTTGGGGAAGGACTCGAGAATATCAAGGTTGGTCAGGTCCAATACTTGGTATATACTGTACTTCAAATTATTGCAATTTGAATGATGACAAACCCATGTAGCTATGGAGCCTTTGGAGGTTCTGAAGGTGATCTGCATCGGAGATGATTGGATGTCATATTATATGCATAGCTAGTTTTATTCAAACAGGACAAGTGGGGACCCGGCTGCCATCCCTCAATAGGAGGCTTTCTGAGAAAGTCTGTGAATATGTGTGGTATTCGAGACCAACTCATATCATATCCTTCTTTTTTTGTGTAGCAGGACTGTGAAGACACCCTGCAGTCCGTTCCTAACAATCAAACTCCTACAAGTACGGGCGCGAGCCCCTGCCTGTTGCAACTGACTTTATAAATCCAATGCAACTTCCACCTGGCCTATTTTGCCCTAAGTTCGGGCAGCATTGGGGGCACGGAAAAGGAGTTTGCTGTCTAAATGTAACATGTTTCCCAGAGGGATGGCTCGCTGCGGACTGAACTTCTGATCCATGCCGGCGTTATGTTGAATCCAAAAGTTGTGTCCCATGTTTTTCGCTTAGAACGTTGCTATTTCCTCGTAGTCATTTGGAAGATCCCGATCTTCATCCATTTATCTTCCCCTTTTGCTGGGGTCAACTCTGCATTTCTTCCATTTTCTTCCTGTGATAAATCTCAATTTACAATAATTTACATCATGCCAGAGTTTCCCCATGTTCATCGTCCTGGCTATTAAAACAAAAATAAACGATCAAATGATGAAAACATGATGGTGTTTTATTAGGATTTTATGATGGCGTTGTTTTCCGCATCATCCTTCAAAAAAACAAGGCTGGACTATCTGCGAGATGGGTCCAGAGATGTTGGCAGACCGAGAGCTGGTGTTGATGGCCGCCAGGCACCGTTCTTTTTCGGTCCAGGATTGAGGGTGCCTGGGAAGGTAAACACAATCCCTGGTTTTTCATGGGGTTTAACATTCAAAAATGGTGATGAATAAGATATTATATGATCATGGTATTAACAATAAGATTTGTTCAATGATATTGATGATATTGATGGGGATATGATGTTTTATAAGTCGCCAACTATGATTTTTATCCTTCCCCGTTCACACTAAACATCATTAAACACTCCCCAGGTTTGCCATGGTGACATTTTGGGACTATAGGTGTTTATTCTTGGGGGGATTGTTATTACCCTCTGGTTATGACTAACAGTTTGCCATGGTAAAACCATGGCCCTAATCGAAATAGATGGTTTACCGAGCTATAACATGGTGGATCTTTCCATGGCTATGTTAGTCATAACCAGATGGTACATCCTATGCGAATCATAATTGGAAGGAATGCCTATGAAACAACCATTATATAATAGTATATATAATATAATGTATATGAATAATGAGATGAGATGGGGGTATCATTCATGGCTGATCTGGTTCGGTTCAGTCTCGGAATGTTACAGTGACATGAAATGCCATTAATAGAATCTATCCCAAAATTATCGCATTGTGCACCATGTAAATCGGATAATCCTTTGGAATAGCAGGTACAACATGTTCCAAATCGTTTGGGAGTGCGACCTCACGTCTTTCGACCGTACTTTGAGTGATGATTAGCCAGAAACATGGTTGATGAGTGTCAAACGATGGTGTAGAATCGTAGACCTTTTTTCCAGCTGGGTATTGCAACAGGATGCAACAGGCATGTGATTTGGAGAAACCAAGTGCTTGGGTAGTTTGATAGTTTATCTGGTTGGTGGTTTGGAACATTCGGATTATTTTTCCCCATCATATTAGGAATGTCATCATCCAAACTGACTTTAACTCCATCATTTTTCAGAGGGGTAGGCTCAACCACCAACCAGTTATTCTTTTTTATTTGTTGTTCAGTCATCAATTTGGAATATGTACTACCAGCCATTCAAATTGGTGCCTATCGGCTCGGCGATATGTAAAAATCCCACCTCGGCGTGATCAATGTCAATATATGTCAAGATAAGATGTAAAGATGATAGATTCTTAGATGGCTTAATATGCATTTTCAAGATTCAAATATATGTATATATATATAATAATTAATTATAGTTAATTAATATATATATATACAGATATTTGGGGATGGTCATCAATATTCATCAATCGGTTGGTATTTAAATACAGCTGATATACCCATTGCATGGATTCCACTAGCGGACCATGGGGACCAAAAAACTTGGCCCGAAAATGACCTAAACACCAAGGCTGTGAAGGGGAAAACGCTACAACTTGGGGTTTGCAAAATACGTCATATCTCAACTGGGATCACATTTTTTATACACATATTTATATCTAAGTCTAAGACTATGTTGCCGAAGCCTTTGAATTTCTGATACACGTTCATGGCAAGACTCAGATCAATAGCACTTCCAACTTCCAACCAGAAGCATGCGAGCCAACGAATCTTGCGGGCTCCACTTGCTGGCTAGTGTGCACCAAACGATTGAGTAGGATTGTCGTGTGATTTCCAACCAGAAGCATGCGAGCCAACGAATCTTGCGGGCTCCACTTGCTGGCTAGTGTGCACCAAACGATTGAGTAGGATTGTCGTGTGACCGTGTATTTCACCAATCTCAAGGGAACTCAGCATAGAAGTAGGGCATGGGCAACTGGCAAGAGCTTGCTCGGGGCATCGCTATCGACGGACTGAAGGTGCTCGGATCGTGGGTTGCAGAGTCCAGTCGGGCCAGAGCATTTGGAGAGGACAGTGTCTGCAAGAGCTCGCATCTGTGGCTGCAAGATCAAGTTAGCAGTTGTCAGCAGCGACTTGGCATCGCACTGGGAAAGCGGGAGTGCACTTCAGAGTGGATCATTTTGCTCTCTGGTTTCATCAGTGGCATTGTTTTTTCTTTGATTTGCTTTGCAGCTTGGTTGTTATCCAGCGGCCGTAGTCTGAGTCTGAAAGGTGAGCCAGTTGCGGCTTGTTGGCCAAAAGAATTGCCGGTGTTACCCCGTAAATTGAGTCATGGGGGATCCAGCAGTGAAGAATTGGCTAACGCAAGATTGCGTGCTCGTACGCTTCATGGATGACCCTGCATTGCTTCACTGGAGACTGATCCTGCTGTGCCATCAAGGTGATGAAGTTACGGTGGCCACCCCTGATAGAGATGTTCAAGATACTACTCTCTTAGTTGGGACACCTATGCTGAAGTAAAACGGATGAGCATGGGAAGGTTGCCAGGTGGTGTTAGGGAAAGAGACACTTATCTCCCAAAGCATTCTCCCGATGGCGACTTCTCCGCGGATGAGATCAGAACTCTGGTGCGGCAAGCAGAGAGAGCACGGCAAGCCAGACATGACCGAAGACGAGCTTCACGTCTACCCGGAGGTGCACCAGCACGCGAAAAACCCCCTGAGGAGGCCGCAGTTGTGGATGATGACTCTCTGCATATTGTGGTCTATAGCTCGGGTGGCAGTCACATTGGCGATGAAGTTGATGTACCTAGTGCAGCATCTCAGGTGATTTTGGGGGGCAGAACTTTTCACATGTTTTCGCTTGGAGGTGAGGAAGTTTTGACCAGGGCTGTCAAGGGTGATGAAATCGCTGCTTTGCAGAGGAGCCTCAAGGGCGTGGTGGCCGAAAGCCAAAAAAGGGAGGACCAAGATGTCCGCATCCTCCCGGTGATGTTTGACTCTGCTGAGGAACGGTGGAGGACAATAGGTGAGGCGGTCCCGGACATGGAGGAGATTGAGTACGATGATTTCCCTTTAGCTGGGCCTAGGACCATCATGCACGACATGCGACAATTGAGGCGCTTGAGCATGGACTTCATCCAGCACCACGAGTCATGGCTCAAGAAGAGTGGTGTTCGTCACAGTGACAGGAGTGTCCATGAGCATGCGGCGATTTGCAGGAGCCTTAACTATTTGGTATGCTATGATCAACTGAATGCTGGAGGGTTGGCGTGTGCTGAAAGCATGAACAGGCGTCGGACCTTGATCGAACATGCACACCAAGGAAGGCCAGACACCCCATCATATGAAGGGGCAGAAGAGTTCCTTGGAGTGAGAGACGCAGCAGACGGCAGCCTGATCGACCCAGCCCTTCAACAGCATGCAGCACGGCGTCAAGCAGCAAAAGCCGAGATCTTGAAGCAGACCAGGTTGGCAGCGGAGGAGCGAAAGCATCTTCGAAGTGAGCCCAATCCCAAAGGAGGTGGAAAAGGTGGCAAAGGGGCGGCTGCTAAGGCCGCTCCCGAGCAACCCTAGCGCTGAGGGTGGTTGGTCTCCCCAGGACACCGGGGGGCTGATGACACAGTTTTAGGTGTTCAGCAGTTTTCCAATGCCGCAAAGGCCAGGTTTGGGGATCTCCTGCCTCTACCCCTTCCTGTGGATGAAAGTTTTCAAGGTGAGGTGAGCCATTTGAGATCCAGGAGGGCAAAGCAGCGTGTTTCAAAACGTCGCGTCCTCATGGATAGAGTGAGGGATTCGGTGTCAGCCATCAATCACCTCGCTGGTCTTGTGGATTCTACAAAGTGGCCCTCCGAGCCTTTGAACCTAGCACAGAGAGAGGCATTGCATAGGGTGCGGGGTGCGCATTTTCAGAGAGCTCCTCCCCCTTTTGCAGAAAGTGAGCAGGCAGCGTTGCGACAGCTGCTGTGTGGAAAGGCATCGGGAGTCTACGAGGCAACCGACAGTCCGGGGCTATTGGCGAGCTATGTGCGGGATCAACTCTCTTTGCCATTTGGGCAGGGAGAACCAGCCGACCTTGCTGAGATGCTACCTGAGAGAGAAAAGCGGTTTCTGGACGGGTTTGAGGAGCATATGTTGTTAAGCCCTGAGGAAATAGCTGGTGAACAGGAGAAAGGTTTTGACAAGGACATGTACATGGACCCACAAATTGCTAGCAACCCCAAGGCTTACCATGCTTTCATCGGTGATCTGGTGCGGTGCAATCTTTTATATTTTACAACTACACCTCGCTCACAGGTTGGCATTTTCATGGTTTCCAAAAAGTCTGGAAAGCAGCGTCTCATCATTGATGCGAGACGTACCAACCGACTGTTCAGGGAACCCCCAACAACTGTGTTAGGAAGCGTGGAAACATGGAGTCGCATTGAAGTGGCAAGAGGGTCCAGCAGTATGTCATCAGAGCTTTTCGTAGCCCAAGAAGACGTGAAAGACTTCTTCTACCGTTTAAAGATCACCCGTAAGCTTGGAGAGTATTTTTCCCTTCCGGTAGTGGATGGGAAGTTATTAGAGAAGGAGTTGGGCTATTTACCAGAAGAGTATGCACACCTTCAAGATGTTAGTGCAGCTCCTATCTATCCCTGCATGAAGGTGTTACCTATGGGTTTTGCTTGGTCTTTCCACTTAGCACATGAAGCCCCTTGCGAGCTTGCTAGGAGAGTTTTGCCTGAAGTACCTCAACTGCGAGATCGTTTCGCGACACCGGTACTTGGCAGTGACCCTATGCGGGGGCATAATCCTACAGCCATGTCAATCTATGCAGACAACAACAATCACATTGGTTTGGATAGAGCGGCCGTGTTGAAGGACCAGGAGCGGGTTATTGGCGTTTTGCATAGTTATGGTTTGGATACCCATGAAGAGACAGAGGGCGTGAGCCTTGCGGAAAGTTTGGGGGTGAGAATCAACGGCGTCTCAGGGGCCATTCAACCTACAGCAAAAAGAGATTGGCGTCTGGACAGATCGTTAGCTGCTTTGATCACTAGACCGTATATCACTGGTGAACAACTACAGGTTATAGTCGGACATATTACGGTTCGGTCGTTATTACATCGGGGGCTTATGGGCATATTGCGACATAGCTACACGTTCATTGAGCAATGCTACAAACAAAAGGTGAGACTTTGGAAGAGCGTGGCTAATGAGATTTGGTTGTTTAGAGCATTGATGCCTCTGGGTACAGCTGATGTTTTTGCGGAATGGGACCCTCAACCTTTATGCACTGATGCATGCCTGTCAGGTTATGCGGTGATGGAGGGAGATCATACCAGCGCGGAGCTGGCAGTGATTGGGCGGCAAGACGAGCGCTGGCGCTTCAAGCTGGATGGAGGACAGAGACGGGCACCGCGGGAGATAGCGCTAGAACATGCAGATCCCCTACATGATCCAAACACAGTACTTCCTTCAGTAGACGGTAGAGTAGAGCAGACGCTGGTTTCAGATCGCAATTTTCCTGAAGTACCACATTCTTTCATGGCATGTGAAAGTTGGAAGAAAGTTTGGAATTCACGTATTTGGCATCAGGAACCAGTGCATATCATAGAAGCTAGAAGTGTGTTGGGGGCAGTGAAGCATCGTTGTCGAGATAGACGGCGACATGGGAAGCGAATTCTAGTGCTAAATGACAATATGGGTGTCGTCCTTGCAATCCAGAAAGGAAGGTGTCACAATTTCAACCTCATGCACATTGTCCGCCGTATTTCGGCACATCTCCTCGCAACCGGTGTTCGTTTGGCAGTGAGATGGGTGCCTTCGGAGTTGAACGTGGCCGATGAAGACAGTCGGCGGTGGGAGCCGGCCAGACTCCCCAAAGCTGTTCACAGGGCAGCGCCAGAAGAGAGTGGTGGGCGAGTGAAAAGCCCGAACAGATCGGAGGCTCACACACGGAGGAGGAGGAGGAGCAGGAGCCCTTCAAGAATGAGGGAGGTCACAGGCAAGAAGCCAGTGGGCTCAGGGCTCAGGGCGGTCATCAAGTCGGTGGCCGAGAAGAGGAGGAAAGCTCAGGAGAGACAGAGAAAATACGAGAAGAGGCTGAGAGCCACCCATGGAGAGATAAGTTTGTTGGAAATGGGCAGTGTGAAGAAAGCACAGAGGCTGGATTATGCGAAGAGGCTAGAGCAATTCTATCTTTTCGTCGCTCACTACCAGCTCCCCGTCTCGGACGAGAAGGAGTTGGACGAAGCCTTGTGCGACTATGCAGACTTCCTCTATCTGGACGGCAATGGTCACGATGCAGGAGAGAAGTTGAAGGCGGCATTGGAGTTCGAGAGACCAGAGGCTTCCCGGCACGGCGACCTGAAGCTCCCACGTTTTCGCCGAGCCATGAAAGGATGGCGGAAGATGGCTCCATCGCAGACACGTCTTCCCATGATAGAGTTCATCAAGGGGGCAATCAGTGCGGTGATGCTGGATCGAGGCTGGAAGGACATGGCCCTATACAACGAGGTGTCGTTTTCAACTTATGCACGACCAGGAGAACTGATCAGAGTTCAGGTGGCAGATGTTGTGAGCAGGAACAAGGATTACGATCACGATGTGATCATCCTGAGCCCCTTCGAAAGACAGGAGGGCAGCAAAACGGGCATCTACGACGAGGTGTTGATTCTGGACGATCTGAGAATGACATGTCTGGGGCCGCTAGTTGTAGAGCTCGCCAAAGAGAAAGAAAGGAAATACGGGGCAGATTGCCCGTTGTGGGGCTTCAACTCAAGCCAATACCTCAAGGTGTGGAGGGCGTGTGTCCGGAGCTTGGATGTAGAAAACCTGGCACAATCACCTTATCAAAATCGACACGGCGGAGCCTCTCGCGACCACCTGTTGAGATTGAGGAGTGTGCCAGCGATACTAAGGAGGGGGCGTTGGGCAGCAGACGCCAGCGCCAGAATTTACGACAAGCCAGGCAGACTGCAGCAGGCGATCAACTCGGTGAGCGACAAGTACATGAAGTTGGGCGAGGAGATGCGTGCGCATTTCGCAACTTACTTCCGAGGTGGGAAAGTCCAACTACCAGTGGCACTTCGGAGAGCGTTCTGCAGAATTTCAAGGACCGAAGTTTCTGAGTCTTTTTGGGGGAATTGGGAACCCAGCAAAAGCTTTTTGCTCGTTTGGTGGTCAGAGTTGTGTCATAGACCTTAAGCGATTCTCCACTGAATGATCTATCCAAGCCATCTCGCTGGGCTGACATCTTTGGCAATCTTTCTCTATTCAGCTGCGTTGGCATTGACTTGCCCTGCAACACGTGGAGCAGGGCTAGGCGTGCGCCGTGGTGGTCGAGAATGCCGAAGCCTTTGAGAAAACCTGGCAGCGATTTGTTTGGTCTTCCCGATTTAGTCCCCAAAGATGCTCAGAAAGTTTTCCGTGCAAATCGTATGTTTTTTCTGGCCATTAGGCTCCTCAAGAAATGTTTGAAACGGGGAATTAGTGCGTATTTGGAAAACCCAGCTTCTTCCCTGGTTTGGCTGACGCCGCAGATTTTGCGATTGCTGCAAGATCCCCGGGTGCAGTTGGTCACTACAGACTTCTGCCAGTTTGGGACACAGTGGAAGAAACCGACTTCCTTGCTGCTGATCAATTGCCATCCTGCCAATTTTGCAAGATGTTCAGGCCGAAAGGTTTGCTCTCTCACTGGACGTCCTCATTTGCAACTGACTGGAATCTCTGGAAAGGCTTTTATCACACAGCAAGCACAAATTTACCCGAAACTTTTTTCCAGGCAATTAGTGCTGACTTTTAAACACCCTGTCCCCCCCTAATCCCTGAGCCATTCTGATCGTGGGCATGGGGTAATTTTGAATAGGGTGGAAATTTCTGCTGGGGCCTCACAATTCGCTTCAGCGTTTCTTTTTGATGCCACAAAGACGTGGCGAATCCAGAGCTCGGCGCCCAGCTACACAGAATGCAGTGCACAGCACGCTCATGTTCTAGAGAAAAGGCGCAGGCATCTAAGTCTAAGACTATGTTGCCGAAGCCTTTGAATTTCTGATACACGTTCATGGCAAGACTCAGATCAATAGCACTTCCAACTTCCAACCAGAAGCATGCGAGCCAACGAATCTTGCGGGCTCCACTTGCTGGCTAGTGTGCACCAAACGATTGAGTAGGATTGTCGTGTGATTTCCAACCAGAAGCATGCGAGCCAACGAATCTTGCGGGCTCCACTTGCTGGCTAGTGTGCACCAAACGATTGAGTAGGATTGTCGTGTGACCGTGTATTTCACCAATCTCAAGGGAACTCAGCATCCACACCCCCCCACCCGGGGTAATTTTGAATAGGGTGGAAATTTCTGCTGGGGCCTCACAATTCGCTTCAGCGTTTCTTTTTGATGCCACAAAGACGTGGCGAATCCAGAGCTCGGCGCCCAGCTACACAGAATGCAGTGCACAGCACGCTCATGTTCTAGAGAAAAGGCGCAGGCATAATTATATATAATATTATATTTACTCTAATCTGAAAGTACATGGCTCAAATTCTTGACTGTATGTTCCTAAAAAGGAGCTTTTTTTTGCAATCTTCTGCGCTGGTTTGCACCCATTTTTTTTCCTCAACATCAAGCTGCCTTTCGGGGACATAGATGGCGCAAATTCCATTCATTCGCTCAAATCAAACTGGAAATGCCCACATAGATGGCGCAACTTGTTTATGTTCCAGCCAAAATAGGCCGTTTTCTTCCTATGGGTATTTTGTTTTTTGAGTTGAGCCATCTACTTTCAGGTGAGTGCAATACAGAATACATATTCCAGCAGTGTACCTGGTTTGCAATTTGCTCCTATACATACTACACCGAAACTGGGATCATAGAACGATTGTACTGCTGACCTTGATAAAATTGGCGAGACCAACGAAAAATTGGCCGAAAAAAAACAAAAAAACATGTGCACCACACATCTGCTCCGATACTGTAAAATACCGGCCCCCCCATAGGACCAAATATGTTGATGTATAACTGGTTTACTAGGTTTCATGATTGATGTAAGTGAATTGGATTGATTTGCCAGTTGTGTCGATTTCTGGCTTATTGGATTGATATGTCTATAGTTTGGGTTGGATTGATATGTCTATAGTTTGGGTTTGTTCACCACCAAGGATACCTTTGGTTAGTGAAACTTATAGGGACTCCCTGGCTGAAGGGACCCCCACTCCCCCAAAATTCCCATACTACCCATGCTCGAAGCCCCTGTTCCGTATGGGAAGCGACCATGGGAATGGGGGTTTCCATCCAGGGTGTCCCTGCAGCTGAGTACGGCACAGGAATGCTGGTGAGCCCTCGTACAATCGTCTCGGAAGGTCTTGGCTCAGAATCTTGGTTTTGGGCTGGAAAATCCGCATAAAAAACCAAAAACAATACCGTGGAATGTATATGAATGTATAGCATCCTTCCTGAAAGATAGAATTTGGTGAAATTAAATTCTAAAGTAATCCTCTCCCCCTCATGCGTCCCCCCTGATAATAAACACCTGAGGAGTTTTTAGTATGAGGGGGGAACATTTAGTATTAGGGTGCCAAGTCCCCCCTATTACCAATTTTAACATCTTTAATAACAACTTGTTTTTCTATTTCAAAAATCACAGTCAACTATGGCCAAGAATTGGATTTCAAAGGTTCCCATACTAAAAGAAAAACCGTCAACAACAATCGCCCTTTGTGTTGACCTTGGTAGAGGTCCTAAGGGATGATGGATGGAAGACCCCTCATCTGGGGGGATGTCATCCTCATTTGGGGGGATGAACTTACCATATTTACCAGGAATTTACCATTGATTTTTGATGTGAAAACCATGGGGAAAAGCTAGTTTTTTTTGACCCACTTAGCTTTGAACTAAGTAGTATGTGTCGGATACACCAGGTTTACAGGTCAGCTACAGTTCAGGCATGCACAACACAATATACGGAGACGGAGGAGTATGTTTGCATGTTTGGTTCATGGTTTAGTTTTGCTGACCACATGTAAGTGCATACATCAGTCTGCATGCCATTCAATATGTCAATGTATGTACCTGTCAATACTTATACTTGTAACATGAAAAGTATGCATGTGTACAATTGTCAGCCCATATGTGAGTCTACATAAATGTCAGTCTATGTGTGCCTATATGTCACTCCATATGTGTCAGCCTAAGAATCTGTGCCAGCCCTTATCTCATAAATCGTTGCAGTACCACGCATGTCAAATTAAATGTCAGTCCATACTTCATATGTCTTGTATAAGTGATGTATGTCAATGCATATGTCATATTCTGTCATTATATACAGTTGCTGTGTTAGCTAGTTCCTGCTAAGGGCATAGCATATTTGGCCTGGAAATTTGGCCAATGTTTGGCCATACATAGCCCGTGGTTACTGAAGGTTCACCCAGCGTTGCCGGGTCATATCTCCCCCTATCTCCCTTTGTGAAATGCTAATATTTGCCCGGGTGCAACCTCATTTTTTTTGTGGGAGAACCTCCCATGAAATTTAATCATTGTTGGCTAAATCCCATGTTTCTTGGTGGAAATCATAATTTTGCTGGTTGAATACACATGTTTCTTCGTTCAATGTCCAATTCATGTCCGTCTTGTTGCATAGCGGCATAGCATACCGTACCCATGGTGCCCTGAACGACGGAAGGCTACATTAATCGCCAGCTGTTGACGGACAAAGAGGTGGTCGTCGCTGGTGCCTTGCGCTGGCTTTCGCGCGAATTACCAGCAAAGAGTTTGACAGGGAGACTGGAACCATCCATATCATAATGGGGATATTCCAAACAATAACATCATATTATCATAAGCCGAGCACGTAAACTGAACCAGAAAACATCTTAACGAATGGGGGAGTTTGACAGGGATATAACCCTCCATTTTCTTCGGATTTGATGGAATGGGATATATATACCAATGAGCGTTTGAAAATGGATTAATGCAATACCCAGACAATAATGTGAATAGAATGGGATTCTATGATAATATGGCCAACAATACTGTATGTGATTTTTTTTTTTGTGTGTGAATATTGGAATTCGCTTGCAATTCTCATCAGGAAACTGATCATATAAATCACAAGCTACATTGGATTTTAGGCAAACCTATGTTCAGACCCTTTCATGTAGCTGGCAGGGATGTTCGCCAAGAAACAGAAGGATATAGATGGATTTATGCTACAAACTGCACCAAACATGATGAACACTAGGGGGACATTCCAAGCAATGAACATCGCTGATTTCCACTGAATGATTTGGATTTGCCCAGTTTCATGGAACACTAACACCAACGTACTTGAAAGCGATGAATCTCTAGGTACAATGTCAAGTTGGTTTCACCAATCTGGAAGTGGATTCTTTCCCATGTACACTTAAATGTAAATCACTTCCCCCCCATCGATATTCCCCGAGATACCCTGGTGTAATTTACTGGTTTTGGTTATGTAGAGGGGCTTATGGGGAACGGCTGTTTTGAGAACGGTCTCAAAAATCTGGCTTTTGAAGCCTATTCTGGGTAAACCGGTAAACCATAGTTGGGTAGTTTAGTTTGTTTTCGTCATGAATGGGGTTGAACATGTGACCCAGCTAACGATTTTAGATTTTGCAGTTAGTATCTAAGACGGCACTATAAATTTTGGTTGCTTAATGTTGGTTATTACATCCTTTGATAATCAAACATGGCAATGGACAGTTCCCCGTTTATAGATCAGTGATCAGTCTCCCATTTTCAAACCCAGGGTTTCATTGCTGGTGGATACCTTTTTTTGTGTCCCCATTTAGGTGCCAAGGTTGGCTACTGCACCATTGCGGAGCTTCCTGAGGCCCCTTTCAAGCCCGCAAGGATCATTGAATTGAGGAAAATCCCGGGAAGACCGGGAAGATTGGACATCAATCCAGTTTGGGGTTGAAGATTGGATGAATCAAACTTGGGGTTTTCCAATTGGATGATTTGGGGTTTTCCAATTGGAAACCACTACTGTATGAATTGAGCTTGAAGAGTATTAGACACAAAACTCTTCCACGGAAAAAATCAGTGGAGAACTTTCAGTGCTCTTCACCAGAAGTGGGATTAGGCATTCGGTGGTTAATGGGGTTTGCTGGCTTTTTGTTTTTTGAAACACCCAGTCTTAGAAGCAACGGATGGATACAGGGATTCAAGTTAAGAAACACATTGATCTTCACCAATAAACTCGCTGAAGCATATCAACGAACTGCCACCGAAACACGTTTGATTGTCCGCAGATGGTTTTAGGATAAGGCGCCGAATCGAACAGGCAAACGCGGCATCGAGGAACAGATACAGAAATCAGATGAAAGTTGAAGCCAAAGCTAAACATAGCACACATGCACGTATCCGCAATAGAGTAGCAATGGCTTGCGAGCCGGCAACTTGAGACTATCACATGTTTTCACATGTTTGCATCTTCTTAAAGCATCATGGCAATAATCATTATGTCATTATGGGTTTATTATGTCTATCTTTTCTGCACAGCCCAAACAGAGACTCCGAGGAACATTGGTCTTGACTTGAGCTCTGAGTTGGATTCTCAATGCGATTTAAAGGCAATCGATCCCATAGGATCCATGTATGCTATATATGGTAACATTTACCATCAATATACCCCCTTTATGTTAGCATATATACCATACATGGATCCTATGGGGATACTGTGGCCCAGCATTATTTCAAGATGGTATCCGGTATCCAACAATACGCACGTTACATTCACCCCAGTCAGAGTTGGAGAAAACTGAAAGTTCTACATGTACCCATAGGATCCATGGTGCTGGTATATTAATGCTAACATAAAGGGGGTATATTGATGGGATCCACGTTACCATATATTCGAAGGTCTGCGCCAAGGTACTTTCTCGTTTGTGGTCTTGTTCAGGTCAAGTGTCTGTCTCAAGGATCCCCATTAAAATACGACGGACGACGAAAGACGACGAAGAGAAAAAAACGAGCAAAAGGGTTTCAAGGGTTCCTCTACGGGACCTCCAGGGGAAGAAATTCCAAGGGTTCCTCTCCGGGACCTCCGGGGAGAAAAAATAAACATATTTTTTTTAAAAAATTAAGACGGGCACATACCATTGAGAAAAACACATAGCATGTTTTATGCATATTTGCAATGTTCGGTCGCAAGTGTTCTTCCCCGGGGTATGGGTTTGTCTCCGGGATTTTATTTTATTTTTTATTTTTTGGGCAGCCTTGAGCGCGAACCTTCACTGTGGGAAAACACTTGGCCTTGAGAAATCCTTCGAACATGGGAAAGTTTTCCAGGAATACGGTTGGGAAACCAGGACCTTTGAGGAGGGGAAAAAGAAATCACCTTTGATACAGGGAGGAGGGTTGAGACAGGCACATACCATTGAGAAGGTAGAAAACCCTTCATCCAGACTTTTGATATATAGCAGCACCATGGATCCTATGGGGTATAAAGTTATTATTTTCTCGTCTCCTCGTTTTGAGGATGTGGTCGAATACGTTGGACATGCGTTCTGGTTCTGGTGCACAGTTTGGGATCCAAATTACCTCGATGGAAAAAGACACACTCAACCGTTTTTGATTCCGCCTAAACCAGCCCATGCCTGTCCGATTTGCTGCCGGGTGAAGTAGTTTCACTTGGAGTATTAATGCTTCACGGACATTTATTAAACCGCGGCATGTTTGGGCTATAAACTACCCAATCTTTGTTGCCCCATGTCCCCATTTTGGTGGTTTGTTGCCAGCTATACCAGCTATGACATTTGGGATGTGCATCCAAAAAGGTCTTCAAAGAAGACAAGGAAGTGCTTCGCGCCGTGCTGGAGGGCAACCCTTCGGAAATTGACGCATGGCATGTAGAAAGTGTTGGCGCTGGTCAGGGGGCCATATGATGCCTTATATAAATATATTTCCTCTCGTGGGGGAGACGAAAACATATCACTATTTTGGTTGTGAACAGGTATTTGTTTGATTCCCAGCCTTGCTTTTCACACTGAGCTACTTGAGTCACAACTTCGCTAAACAAGCCCTATCTTTGTAACGGTTTGCAAGGGGCACTCTTCCCTGGTTGCGGGTAGTTTGACAAGTTTGACAACAGTATCTTGTTATGAACCCATTAAATAATGGATCGTGGATTTTCACATTCTTCCTTGCTTCCCGTACCACCCCCACGTGATCCTAGAATGATTGGAAGCCAGTGGAAGCCCTTGGACATGGGAATTAAACAGTAAGACATGCAATCAGCAAGATGGGAACGCAGTATCCCAAACAGCAAATCTCTGAGACTGATTGATATAACTGGAGTCCACAGGACTACTACTCCTACTCCTACTTCTACTTCTACTGCTGCTACTGCTGCTATTGCTGCTACTGCTGCTACTGCTGCTACTAATGCTACCAGTGCTACTAATGCTACTGCTATTACTGCTACTATTACTTCTACTTCTTCTTCTACTTCTATTGTTGCTTCATGTTACTTCATGTTACTTCTACTTGTAATAGTACAACGAGCAGCATGTTCTACTGGATGTTATCAAAGAGCGAAAATCTTCACAACCGATAGGGGACGACCCAGTTTTGCATGTGGCAATTCCGGGGAGCAAATCATTTTGTCCGCCACTCATATAATTATTAGATATGAGTATACACACTATATTATATCATATTATATCATTAGTAGTTAGTAGTATATAATAATTTATTATATCCCATAGGATCCATGGTGCTGCTATATATGGTAACATGGATCCCATCAATGTATCCCCTTTATGTTAGTATATATACCAGCACCATGGATCCGTCATGGGTATATAATGATAAATAACCAGAGGGTATTTTTCTATTTTCACCCATAAGATGATCTCCCAGTGACCATCAAAAAAGAATGATATATATTATAATCACTATTATAGTAGGATTACTCATAATTTTCAATGAATCCTGTCCTGGATCCCCCAGAGGTCAACGCCACGTTGGAGCTGCCGCGCGACTGGGCGCTGGCCATGTGTCTTGACTCAACGTCGGAAAACCGGGACTCAATGACTCCTTGGGGATACGAAGGACGCAGCCGGACCGGTCATAGCGGTAAACCATGGTAAAATCCGGTACCCTCTGGTAATGGCTGACATAGCTATGGAAAATTGCCATTTATAGTGGATTTTCCCATTAAAAATGGTGATTTTCCATAGCTATGTTAAATTACCAGAGGGTAAACATACAAAAAGATGTGGAAAACCCATGAAAAGCCCTAGGGAAATGATCTACAAACAATGTTTTTTCGACATCTGAGTGTTACTTTACCATGGTGTTTTTGATGAAAAATATGGGGAGAAACCCCAATAATAATATCCAATACTGATGGGATTTGTTGATGGGATATGCCGGGTTCGCTACTGTATCTGGATAGATAATAACTAGTACCAACTACCCACCAATACTTTGCAAAGAAGCACCGACACACATTTATTTTCAAAAAAGTATAATACGCACATACACATGTCATACTATAATGTAGTTGTATAAGATAATAATAATATATATATATACTGGTTTGTGGCTTGGAACATTTTTTATTTTCCATAATATACATGGGATAATCCTTCCCATTGACTTTCACATACTGTATTTCAAGATGATTAAAACCACCAACCAGAATATGTATGTGTCCCTAAGGTTGGCCATGGATATCAACGAATGGCAAGATGTCCAGGAAGAAAACTCAGGTATTTTTTAGCAGCCTCCTAGTGGGGACATGTGTTGAATTTCTCAATTTTGTTGATCCAAAGAGAGGGATGTTTTCTTGTTGATGTTTTGCAGGGGAATTGAAGTCGAATCCACCAACTCGTGAATTTCTACGCGTCATTATCTTCATTACCCTCTGGTAAACTAACGTAACTATGGAGAATCACCATTTTCAATGGGAAATCCACTATAAATGGCAATTTTCAATAGCTATGTTAGTTTACCAGAGGGTACTATACTTCCGTAGATGATGGAGGATGTCATACCCAGCAACAAAAAACACCTCTTTTCTGCAAGGTGAGATTCGACACGGATACATCCCTGTGATGAGCCAAGTTACAGGAGCGGTTTTAAATCATTGCAAGTTGGAAGAAGATGGTACCCCTTTAAATAATGTATTCTTCTGTGTACCCTTTTTGTTTTCCGATAATTTTACCATTTTACCATCACCATATTTCACATATATTTCACCAATATTCACCAAGAATGTTTGTTGGTTAAACCACCATGATCATGTTTGAAGAGTTCAGGGTGTTTCTCACTAATCGTGTTGGAAATTGCGCCGTTTTTGCGCCTCCCGGGCCAGGCTGCGAAAGGATGGGATGGCCTTGAAGTTGCTGCCACAGTTCTGCAACGACCGGGAGTGTGTCGAGGCCCCTTGAGACTCAGTCCTCTGGAGATTTCTGGAGATCTTGGAGATGGAGCCCAGAAAAATAGGTACCCTCTGGTAATGGCTGACATAGCTATAGGAAATCACCATTTTCAATGGGAAAATCAACTATAAATCACCATGTTCAATAGCTATGTTAGTTTACCAGAGGGTAGCCATCCATTTCAGGTTCTTGTAGGGATTTTTTGTAGGATGTAGCATTAACAATAGGGACTCCACTGACCTAGGCGGAAATCCAAGGTGCCTAGCTGGAAGGGCTCCCATTTGGTTGAATTTCCCATCTAGAAAGCTCCTTATGTGTAGGAAATGTCCACTTGCCATGTTTGATTACCAGGTAATGTGGAAATGGGATATAACGGCACATAGTGGGATTCAGTGAGTGATATGATGTGATAAGAACATCACCCAGTAGGATCGAATAGGATATATCACCAACAATCTGATTATCATTCCATGAGGAGAACGATGATGAACCGATTACCTCACCCATAGGATCCATGGTGCTGGTATATTTACCTACAAAACTGGGTGAATTTTAGGGCAAATGTTGGTATATATACCATACATGGAGCATATGGGTCATGATAATTTCACAGTTTGCTATGGAATCTATAGTTCCATGACTTGCCCACTATTTTAATGGTGATTGTCCATGGTTATGTTGGCCAAAGTACTACCAGTGGAGTTGGGGATACCTTGGTATACCCAGCTTTTGGACAAATCTGATGGTAACCAGGATCTAATTTTGCCAAAGGTTTTTTTCTCCCACGGCCTATATCACATGGTAACCGAAGATTAGTATTTCCAAGAAGAAATGCAGCTATAAACAAGGGATTCTCCATGGCCAAGGTTTAAGGTTTACTGTATTATTACAAAAGAGTGTATATAGATCTTCAAAAAGAGTGTAGATCTTCAAAATATCTGGATTTGGCCCAAAAAGGCTCTGATACTCGTTTGCTCATCACATATCAAGAATCTGGAACAAAACCACAGGTACCCGCAAAGGAACCCCACATCCATTTTTTCAGGGGTTGGGAAATGCCCTAATTCTTTGGATCACCCAACAATTTGGGATATCTCCAACATATACTTTTTCAAGTGGTGTGAAGCATATCCCAAAATAGTACATTTTCCCTCTGGTAATTTGTTACATAGCCATGGAAATCCCGATAAAAATCAGTGTAAATCATCACTTTTATCATTAACATAGCTATGAAAATCACCATGTTTAACAGGGTAAATGAACTATGTCTATGTGCAATGTCAGCTACGTAACAAATTACCGATGAATCATGGGTTACTCATCAACTCCTGGCCGAACCCAAAGTTTGGGGTCCTTCATCCCGAACGCCACGTAAAAAATCACGTGAGGCCGCGGTGAGACAGACCTGTTTCGCCATCAGCTTTGCGTCCATTGAACTTCGTGCGGACAAGGAATTGGTTTCTCGGCCTTAGATCGGATCATGTGGGTGAAACTATGCCATTTTTACCCTCTGGTAATGGCTGACATAGCTATTGAAAATGGCCATAGGAATAGTGGATTTACCCATTGAACATGGTGATTTTCCATAGCTACGTTAGTTTACCAGAGGGTACCACCCATTTGAGAATGGTACTCATACCACCATCGAGTCGCCCAAACGGGCTTTTATAGATATGTTTATAGGGATAATGTGGGTAAAACATGGTAAAACAATGCCATAATAAACCACCCATGACTGGGAATGGTTTGTATAATTTTATATATCCCACCTATAAATTTATGGTGATGACTGGGAGATGGTGGGTTTATGGCATTGGGAATTTCCCACATGAGCTATTATTCAAATTATTCAATGGGAATTCCAGGATCCCAAAATGGAATAACAGATTCATAAAGGATGAAATTCACATACTGAAAGCCATGATTTCTTGGATGTCAAAAATATTTTCGGGGGATGGGATGCATGAACCATCCCCAATTTTACCATGGGTGGCAGAAACCATCAGCATGTTGGTGGTTAAACCAGCAGTACTATTTTTGGGAAATCATGTCAAAAAAAAACTCCAAGTTTTTGGTGCCGAGAGGCTCGCGACTGTTGTCACATTTTGAATCTTACTATCAACATAACATTGGATTTGGGGGGTGGAGGGGTGGGGGGGTAGTGTAATAACGTTTATTTGCACTTCCACATACGCCAACCTAGTGTTTGTTGGGAAATTTGAAATATCATTTACACATATTGGGGATTAAGGGTAATTACCCAAAAGAACTGACGACTAACATATGACAATTATTGACTGACTGTATACTAATTTTCCTTTTTTATACACATTGTTACATTGAACATTTTCACAGATCCACGTTTGTGTTTTGAATGTGAACAAAAGTCGTTGCTATATAAAGGCTATCTGTGATAATGTTTGTTAATGTTTTCTTGAGGCGTCAAAACTCACCTTACCCGATTCAAAACCCGGCAGCCTCCAACTTTCCCATGAATCCAAGGCACGTTCGGCGATTCAAGACTTTGTGGACAACTTTTCCCGTCATTCGCTGAGGCCTTGGTATGGCCTTAGGTGCATGGTTTTTCACCCGAACACACAACTTTATGATTATTGAGTCTTGGAGGTCATGGTGAATTTCAACTATATAAAGTGGAGAACCAAGAATGGATAACAAACTATCAAGGAACATAAGTGATCCAGTTTTGATGCTTCGTCTCAGAACATTTTGTGGTTCTGTGGGTCAACACCTCCAAATTTTTGGTCCCAACTCAGTTCAAGGATATCTATCATGATTAATGATTACAAAGCACACATACATCCTGCTAAGATCGTGGATGTACCCTGTATGTCATAATAGTAAACCTAGTCCAAACTGATTGTGCTTTTTTGAGCTCACTGAGGGTTGGGTGAGAAGATTTCAGCTGAAACATATGTGATTTTGACACAGCAGAACTGGTGATTTATGCAGCCTTGGGATTTGGCCTGGACTGATGCTTAGTCACTTAGTCTATGACATGTTGATAATACATGATAAAACTTTTAATCACCAACCATTTTCTGTGGGACTTCTACCCTGACATGGTGATCCCAATGCCTCGTCCACCTGGGAGAATGCATAGTTTTTGATTTGCACTGGTTGGTAGAAATATGGTAGGAAAAAAAATGTTTTAAAACATATGGTAGCCCCTATGGTTGAAATGATTTCCTGTGAAGATGGTGTATGTTCCATCATTTCATGAAATTCCATCCCACCAAAAAGTACTGCTTAGGGAGGAAATGAAAAAGGGCCGGGTTTACCCGGAAGATATGGGTTTGTCTCAAAATGGACCGTGTGGAATACACATGTCTTGCCCATTTTACTGTAATTGTGTAGGATTTGGGGGGTTCATATTTCGAGATAACATCAGATCGACATGTGCCTATAGCTATATGTGTTTTCTGGTCGGCAGATGATGAACCATGCCCGAAGTCAACTGCTCAATGGTCTACCAAGTCTACCCCGAATTGTTTCAAAACTTGGCAGAGCAGCAAAAATGTCACTAGCTGTACTGTATCATATAAATCCTCGAGACTAAGGACTAAGGTTGCTGGGGAATAGATGCTGGACCTGAGCTTGAAATGATGTTCAAGTGGCCTTGTGATTTGTATTTCGCATCCCCCTGCGAGGCCGGAAATGTTAAGTTCCACTGATACTTTGCCATTTTTGTCCACTCTGTCGAAGGAAATCCGCAGCCTGGTGCGATGAGATCAACCGATGGCTCAACAATGGGGTACCAATGGAGCCACAAGGATTGTTGATGATTGTTGTTTGTCATTTTTCTCATTTCAGAAAGAACTGAAAAAACAATGTTTGTCAATTGTTTGGGACTAACTTTGACACGTCCACCTCAGATCACCTCAGTATAATTGACGTTCTATATCTACGGAGAGGCCAACTTGGTTGGTCAACTTGGTCACTCCAGTTCTCCAGTTCTCGATTCGAGGAAGTGACAAGGAGTTGATGTTGAAAGTGGTGCAGCGGGATGGTCGACAACTGTGTGTTGTTGAGCCTGCTCTATTGAAGGATCCAGAGGCGGAACCATACGGATTTTCGCGATATCGATATGAAATGATATGAAGATGCACCCAGGAACTTTTTACCAGCTACTAAGGACCTAACATTACACCACTGGGGATGAGCAATGAACTTCTGGATGTGTTCATGTTGGACATGCTGTCTTTACATATCTCATGATGGCTGGAAGCTATAATTTTACATTGTTATAGCTTTTTGAGTCTAGCCATCAGCTTCTAGTCTTCACTGCTTTCCACCTGCGATGTGAACCAACAACAACCAATTTTTATCGGACCGTTTCGAGGTTGTAAACCAACTAGTTGCTACCCTCTAGTAATTGAAAGTAAACAACGGAACATGACCAGTTGAGTTTGAAGATATACCGTTTGTTTAACCGTTGTGATTTCCATTGCTATGTTAGTTTACTGGAGGGTAACTAGTCACGGCTGGGAAGCAGGCTATTGCATGGCCTTTTGTTAATGCTATTGATATTATTGTATGTGTAGTCAAGACCCTTGCGGGAAAACATGTGAGTGACATTCTTTCTTCGTATTATGACAACGGGTGTTTCGAGGTTGGGTTTAACCTGAACGTCATGATATAGTCATCCTGTGCTTCCTTTCGGGGCCCGGATTGGAACCAATCGTGAGCGATTTGATCACTGTAAAGCAGAAGGCAGACCAAGTGGATCCCACTTAGTATCGAACAGCATGTAGTAGCTGTAGGCTGGAGACGGCTATATCCTCTTCCAATGTCACCTAGCTAGAACGGATATTTTATGATAGATTTTCGCCAGTGCATATTCCCTTATCGCTGGCTGGATAATCTCCACTCAACTTATGAATAGTTGTCCCACCAAAACCTCCATTTTGTGCTGATATTTCCCAGTCATGTTTGGTGATACAGAAGGTACCCCTTCTATTAATTTAAATGCCAGGCCAACAACCCTGGTTTAGTAGTTCTATTCGTTTCCATACCAGGGGGTATTCAAGAAATGAGGGGGATTGTATTATTCCCAGTAACAAGTACCCTCTAGTAATCAAACGTGTCAATCTAGGTTCATGGCTACTTATACCCTCCCCCCTACACCCCCCTCCCCCCTCATAAGACCTAGAGACCTAGTAAGCACTCAGCCCCGGTAAGCACTCAAAACAGCCCTATTCACTCAGTAAGCCTTACTGAGTTTTTGATGTGTTCACAAAAAATCAGGGTCAAGCCCAACGATAATCATAAATATGGTGCATTGGAATCCATCGGGGCTTCCAGTGATGATTGGAATGATAAAGAAGATTCCATCAATAAACTATCAATTGCACATATCTTTCTGGAGTGATTCTAATGATAATAAAACATCATAAAATCAGATCTTATTGCATGGTTCGCCAGATTCAAGGCCCTAACATCTTCGACTGACGGTCTACAAAATGATGAGTTTTGGGAACAAAATTAATGATTTGACTTCAAATCACCAAGGAACGCAATGTTTCTGACTGTTTCCATTGTCTTCAGGCTTCCCAGCCCTACCGAGCGATTACTCAGTGCCTTCTAAAGCCTTAATAAAGCCTCAAAAGGGGAGGAACCAAGAAACCCCACCAAAATCCAGCAAATGTTGAAGGCTTACTGAATGCTTCGGATGTCAAATTGGAATTATCCAACCACACGAAAAAATAGTGAAGTGTGAAACATTTTGCCTCGAACCTTGTATATAGGGGTCATGACCTGAAATGCTTGTTGAGATGCGGAAGTCACAAATTCAACATTATCGTGGCAAAACACATCATGCAAATCACTGCTCTCAGTGGGCTAAACTTGCCTTCTCCCAATAGGATTGCTGAGAATGGCTAAGAGGGGTTGTAGCGAGGGGGTTGCAGGATGTTGCAGGACCGATAGGTTGATTTCTAGGACAATCATCGAACTTTTTCTGGGTTGTCCAGATTTAGAAACCCGCATGCCACGGGTTTGAAACTATTAACCATCATTAACCATCACTATGAAAACCATCATTAACCACTATGAAAACCACATCATTAAGCCACTATGAAAACCACTTAAATGCATTAAGCCACATCATTAACCATCATTAACCATTATTAACCATCATTAAGTGGGAAAATGGAGTTTCCCACTTCGTTCAGCCCTCCATTGCAGGTGGTCTATGCTGCCGTGTCCAGACATCCCATGGCTCTACGATATGTCGGAGCCCCAACTCGTCGTTGGCCACGTCGAGTGGCTTTTGTGCGTGTTGAAGAACCACGGGCCATGGGAAAACATGGATCTATATATTAATATATATATATATCTGGGATTATCTGGGTAAATTATAACGACCTCACTGCGACCTCACTGGAATCATGGTTAATAAGAGGAATCATCCCAAAATGGCTTTATTTCAGGTTAGCGAATTAGTATAATTTACCCATATATATATATACATATATGATATGTGTATACATAATATATATATGATCGAATATGATTTATTGACAAGGATCAATAAATACAATAAATAGTGGATGCCCCGATTAATGCAGATTTAGCCAATATTGAACATTCAATTAATTACTGGGGATATGGGAAAGCCCTTTTGGAGAAACCATCGCCGGAAGATTGGAATTGTGATAGAGCCTTGTTTACACATTAGCAAGACCATGTAGAATTCTCTTAGGATGCCTTCTCCCAACAGGACTGATTTTACCGCACAAGATTCGAAGTGCACTCTGAATTTAAACACAATAGTTTTTTGTTTGAGGTTGATAGAGCTTAACTACTCTATCTCATTCTCATACAAGGCAATATTGATTAGAAGAAATGTCAGGGACCTGTTTGGCTCAATAGATAAGCATGATCTTGGCTAAGCTGCAAATGTTAGTGGAATCTTGTGGATGAATATGATTCCTGAACCCTACGGCTGGGCAGTAAAAGTGCGTGGAAATAGATGGATATAATGATATAATATCAGTGTGTGTATAGCTAGGATTAAACATGTGCCATTTTATCCAAGATCATGTTAGAAAGCGTGATCAATTTTCCATTTAATCCCTTTATCGATGACTAATCTTCCAGAGGACATGTATCACTGATCTCATTGAGTCACACCCGACAAAAAACACAACATTCTCAGATATGTATGGTTCAAGGGAAAATGAAACTGAAACCCCATATTTCTATGGTAAAACAGGTTTTCCAGTCTATGTTCCCTCAATTCTGGCTGCATTTTGGCTGCTTGACATTCTGTATTTTCGTTGGTTAAATCACCATTTTCCGAGCATATTTCCCAGTTGTCTTCAGGTCGCTGAAAGGGAGTCAGAAGATCACGGCTACGCCAAAAGTAAGTCTTCAGGTGCCTCGAGACGGAGCGGACACGTGGAGTTTCGCGGGAGGATCAGCAGTGATACCTCTATGATCCTACACGTGTATATATATAGGATATATATATATATGTATTTTTTTAACTGACTGCACATGGAAGTGAGATTCACTGCGGCAGCTGGCGATGTTGAATATATATATATATAGAATATATTATAATATATATATATCATATATACATATGGAATAATATATATATAATAATTCAATATCATATAGATAGAAACCCAGTAATTATGTATATGTAAGATGTAAGTAATTCATAGTACATTGATTATCAAGTAGAGAGATGTACAATATATATATATAATATTCCTATATATGATTATTGACAGGAAAGTATAGACTAACCTTTTCCTTTCAGACTGCTGCAAGTTGTCCTTGCTTGGTTCCAGCATAGTATAGACTAACCAGCAAAAAACATGTTTTTGCGACAATATCTGAGATGAGCCATGACTTTGGCGGCAACAGGATCGAACAAGTCTTGTGGACCCGCTGTCCGACTGGTTGGGATCAGTCCGTATGGGGTGAACCCCATTTTACACAGGTCGTATCTAGAAGTGGAATGGGATGATTCCAATCGACGAGCTTGTTTCTCAGGGGAATTGAAACCACCTACCAGATCGAAATATGCTTTGTTTATCTTTGTTTCATACGCTTCGCCACATGTTTGGAAGACACACAAGGGCCATCAATCATTGATATTTGCAAGCCCATCACATGTTGGCGATGCTTGGCTTTCCAAAGACACATTTGAACTTAGAGCACAAAATCATTGGCTCAAGTTCGAGAATATACCGGTATACCCACTGCATAATATTCAATCCCCAATACCACCAGAAATTGGTAGTATAAATCCTCCATAATTGGAGGCTTTGGGCCCATCGGCACCGGCACCCGGTCGATGGCACCGGTCGATGTTTCGATGTTCGACATCCACATGTTCGAGAAAGGTTCCCAATGAGTTTTGACGTGCTGATGCTGATTGGTTGTTTCAATGAGTTTGACATTCATCTGTGTTCATCTATTCTTATCATAATTTGTTTAAATCTATGTTCATTTATTTTCATCTAGGTCCTAGGTTCTATTGGTTTCATTGATTCAACATTCATTATTGAAACTAATCTATGTCAAAATGAACATATAGATTAATCTATGTTGCTTCTTATCATATGATTTTGGATGATCCCGAAAATGACCATATCGAATTCTACTCGCCGTCAAGGTAAAGCTCGCAACTCCAAGGGCGACTCGTCTTCGAGTAGCAAGGCCAGTCTGTTGGAGGACGTGCAGCTCTTGTTCAATGTTTCTTGGTGAAGGTCTGATTTCATCCCCATAGGATCCCGAGTCGGGCTGTTTGATGGGGGGGATGGGACGACTTGGGATGTGACAAATTGGTTTGTTCATGAAGATGGTATATGGGTTTACCGTGCTTTGCCTTGTTGTATAAGGACAGTCTCATTTATATGTTGTATAATACATATGTGTACATGTTTGTAGGTTAATGACTATGCATGGCGTTGTGTACATTCTTTAATGAATTAGGTTGCATATTGATGCAGTTTTGTTCGAGGTATACCCTCCGGTAATTTAACATAGCTATGGAAAATCACTATTTTTAATGGGAAAACTCACTATAAATGGCCATTTTCAATAGCTATGTCAGCCATTACCAGAGGGTATTTCCCAAAAAACAACACTACAGTACATTGTATACGTTTCTTCGCTATGATTGAGTCAAAAAACATCTCCCTGAGATGCACATTTACCAAGTCGGCTTTGCTGAGACATCCAGGCTACAGGCTGATGGATGGATGAAACACAACACACTCACATGAAAAATGTATGTATTTATCGAAAAACAAATAATGACCTCACTGCGACCTCACTGATGCTTAGTAGGGGAAACTATACCAATGTGGCCTTATTTCAGATTGGTGAATTGTTATAATGTATCCAAATATGAATATAATAGTAATAATAATAATAAAACAAATAATAATAATAATTATTATTATATATATATCATATGCATTGTAGAATTGCGGAGCAATGAATTATTTGTGATGCACAACAATTGTGACAGGCAACGCTTGGTTTAGGCTTGGTTTAGGCTTGACAGGGGCATTCCAGGATTCTGCTTCAAACAGAAAGCGGGGATTAGCAAGGTTGCAAACCACTAGGTGCCAAGCCACTTTGTGGCTACATGGTTCGCAGTAGACTGGTTACTGGTTGGTGATGGTTGATGGTTTGGTTTAAGTGTTTCATACCTGATTCTGATTTCCATTTTGAGAAACAGGTAAATAGGAAGCTTGTTCCAGCAGCTTGGACTATCTGGGCCTGACCAGTCGATTCAATGTTTTTGAAGCCTCCAAAGCCCACATGTGCCTCACTAACTTCGGCCCATCAGGTACCTTCACGGGGTGGGTTTTAGGCCTTGTTTTGTGGCGAAATGACGCCCAGCCAAAGCAAAAAACCCATCGGTTTTAGCTTGGGAATTGCATCTATCAATCGGGATTTTCTTCGGATCGATCAATCGGTGAAATTGCCAGAAATCCATCCCATATTCAACCACCAGTGGGTTGAGATGGGTGAAATCAGGTGAAATCAGCAATTTCCATACACTTCTAGATGGCAGTGTGTCAAAACCTTGTACCCCTGGTGAACATCAAAATAGCTGGTAAATGGATGTTCATCCCCCTAAAAATGGTATTAATAGGTATTGATCCATACCCAGATGATTTTCCTCATGAAATCCTCATCTTTTTGCCTCCCAAGCGTTGTTTCAACGGCGCCGAGGCGATCTCTCGTGACAGGTACGCCGAGCGTTGCGAGCGTTTGGATTGTTTTAGCAATGATGCTGAGAGTAGGGGGTACCCTCTGGTAAACATACAAAAAACTATGGAAAATCACCATTTTCAATGGGTAAATCCACTATTCCTATGGCCATTTTCAATAGCGTCAGCCATTACCAGAGGGTATTCTCTTCCAAAATGACCTGTGAGGTTGGTGGGTTTTTTGTCAAAGGGTCTAGGAATGCCTCTAAGATTCGAACATAGTTCAGGGAGAATCAAAGACTAGCAATTTTTGTTGGGCACCATGACGACCATGCGGCTACAGCCACCTTTGTGGCTGTCAGGAATGCTTGGGTGTTCTGCCCAAAACATCTTCGCGAGAAGGTGAAGGACATGCTGCTGGAAAAGGAAAAGAAGGTCCCTGGTTCACCTGATCAAAGGTATGGACGCAGACTGGTGGGGCCCCCTTGATAGCTATCTTGATTTACAACCGGCTTAAGCATGGTCTGTGGTAGATATATCAGTACTTAATGGTGCTACAAACCAGCTTATATAGAACTGTTGGGCCCCGGTGTAAGGAATACTGTACAACTTAGCTGGAGGAAGTGGATGAATAAAGCTGTTTGGGTCAAGTCCAGTGTGGAGAAATCAAATGACTGTGGGAAAACCCTTAAATATCCATTAATGTCATTAATGTCATAAGAAGAACTCCAATTGTTTACTCCAATTGTTTAGGTTTGCCGAAACCCATGGTGAACTTGATGACTATTCCATTGTGAGGCGAAGAAATGAGGGCCGCCCCCCGGCCGTTTCACGTTTTGTGTCCAGGTGGCTGTACAGATTACACCTGGGATCTCGTTGTACAGCAACAGCATGGAAAATGGTCGGTGGTTAGCTTGGCTTAACACGGTTGGGTGGTGTCTCAATGGCATTGGCCAGATCTTATGGGAAGAGTGATGATAAACTGATAAACTCACCAAGATCTGGGTGAAGTCCGCCTGTCATGGAAAGTTAGGGCCATGGGGTTGTGAATCTCCAAATCATTCAGCTTCTCTATCAGTGAAATGGATGTTTAGGGAGGGATCAAAGTCATCGCATCGAGTTCAGAATCCATGTTGATGGCATATCAATCTCTTAACCAGATCATAACATGCCTATTTTCAGAGATATACCGCGCTGATTTAGATGTGTGGGGTCAAAAAAACACATATGTTGTTCAGTTCTTAAGCTTTTCAATATCACCTGATATCCATTGATATCCATTGATATCCATTGACATCACTTGATATCCCATGTAAAATTTCCGAAGGTCAGAAATCGATTGACAAATCGCACGTCGCTGTTGGCTGTTTGGTACTTGTAGGTTGGTCGAGGACGAGGAGAGGCGGATGACTGTGGACGCACTTCAGCAACGAAAAGTGGAGGTCCCAGCCATTCCCAGGGGATCCCAGGGGGGGAAGATGGCGAAGTGGATGGAAATAAGCCTGGCAAGTGGGTGAATACCAAGCAGCCTTCTGGTAATCAAACATAGTTTATCAATGTTTATCATAGTTTGCTGGAAAATGCCCCACTGAGTTCGAGTATTTTCTCATTCAAAGCTCCGATTTTTTTTTCTCGGTGATTTCCCAGCTTGGCATGTTTGATGCCACCGGAGGGTAGTTGCGGTGGCAGTTAGGATCCAAAACGTACTGTACCACATGGTCAAGTCAAGGCACTGGGGTTCATGATGGCCCAGCCATGCCCAGCCATCATATTTGAGGCTTCGTTGTTGGTGCCCAAGCCAATTCCTAATTCTTGAGGGGTCAAGGTTGGTTCACTTGTTTGTGGATAGATATTTAATAGATTTAATAGATACTTCGAGGTTGATGTACATTTCCCAAAAATCTATCCATCATTATCCATAGCAAAAACCATCAAAAACCTTGGCTGGGACCTCTCCTTGTCCAGGTGGAACGAGCATTGAATGCGCTACCCTTCAAAATCGAGACTCCAGGGCAGCATCGACGTGAGAAAGATCTCTTGAACTCCCTGGCCCTTCGGATCGGATTGAAGAGGGGCGGCTTAATAAGGTGCCCCCAGTGCCCAACGATGATGTTGATCAACCCATCTAGTATCATCTAGTATCATCTAGTACCATTTAGTTGGATACTGTTAGATATATCTACAATCCAGTTGGCTGAAACTTCGCCAAAGACTGGGGCTCGCACCATTGTAGGTCAGGAGAGAGATGACTAGGAAGTCATGCTGGATTTGCTGATTTGCCCATTTTTATGCTGGATTTGGACACCAACTGCGCAGTGTCCAACGGAGTGGTGGACAACCATGTTTGCGAACTTTTTGCCCAAAATCCCCATGATTAAAATATATGAAAATCCCAATTGTTTATCATGTTTTAATGTCTTAAAATCCCCAAAATCTCATTTTCTGTGAGAACCATCCCATTTTGGCAGAAATCATCCATGACTTGACCTGCCAGGAATCCCGGCATCACGTGGGCGACATGAAATTCATGGAATTCTCCTAGGATACCCCAAAATTCAAAAAAAATAAATATGTTCAATGGCAAGTTCGGGCCGAGGCGCAGGTGGAAAAGCTGCAAAAGATGTTCACAAATCCTACCGTCTTCGTGCCGGAAGGCGACTTTTCTCGGGGGAAAGTTGTGGGGTTTTCTATGGCCATACATTTTCATGGGAAAATGATGGTTCGAACCTTGAAACCAAGGGATTTTGAGGATCCAAATGATGTTTGAAAGCCCGCAGACAAAAGTCACTAATTACTAAGCATGGCCAAGCCAACCCAGAAGTGAGGAACTTTATGGCTGAGATGATGAATTTCATGGCCCAATGGGCCCAATGTCAATGAAAACGCAAAACCCTTGTTGCTGATTCTATCCTTAGTTTCTGTTGGTTAAATGTGCTAAATCCTCAAACGTTTGGTGACGCCAGCAGAGCCATGCTGTATAGATCACTGATGTTTGTATGTGGTATACCGTATACCGAAGTTATTGGCACTATTGGAAGAATTTGAATGACGATTTTAAGGCTGATACTGGTTCCATCTGGTTGGTGTTTTCCGCCTCGAAGGAGATTGTCAAGGATCCTTCCTATAGACTTGTTGAAAGATATTAAAAGGCTTCATACAGATTGATCTACCCATAGAACAATCCCAAAGAACATGGGACTTACTATGGGAAATTTCCCGATGGCTGTCTGCAGAATCTTAACAGAAAGGGATCTCTGCCAGTTCTCCATGGTCTTTTGGGAAATCTTACATCTGATTTTAAAGAATCATATCAAATCGCAGGAACTAGAGATTTTTTTCAAGAAGTCAAAATTTAAGATTGGGAATGCTGAAAAAAAAAACATACCGTTTTTAACTAAATCTCTAAATTCTCGGTTTGGGGGTGAACATGTTCCCAGCTGTGAAAGCTGCCAGATGCTGGTCCCATCTTCGGGAATTTGCCGCCGGTGGCCCAACCAAAGGCTCCTGGCAACAGAGGAATGGGATGGAAGGGGATATCATTGATATAATGCACAGTAATGCACATTTATATACTATACGTACATATATATATATAATATACATAATATGTACATGTTCTATTCTATGAAGTGATGGGTTGTTTCACCTGTTCTTTTGGAATTAAGTGTAAAGTGATGTGAAGTGAAAGATGGTCAGTACCTGACGAACATGGTTGCAGCATGTTGCAGCAATATTGGGATGGCGTGTTCTATGACAGTCTTTTGAGTTCCATAGTGAGAGATGCCATTCTTGAGGGTGCCCTGATGACAGACATGACCAGCCCTATCTCTTCCAACTTCTGCGCGTTGATGCGCAGGCGCATAGGTAATGGCAGAAAGTGACCGGAGATGCGTTTGATGCTAATGCCAATCATCAGGAAGCAGAAGCAGCTTTAAAAACAATTGTGGCTGATTCCTACTTCAAAAGAAACCAGATATCCCGAGCCCTCAACAATATAAAATGGAAGATCTCCACTGTTTCTATAGTCTATAGTCCTCGAAGGGCAGTGCAAGCATAGCTGCTTCGGAATGACTGCCCCTTGTGTGTCTTAAAGAGACGGCATGGCAAGCGGTCCGGGGTTTGTCAAATCCATTAAAAGTGCTCTTGGGTTCTGACCCACACACCATTGGATGCCAATAGATGACAGTGGACCAGATGGCAAGGGACGCTGATGGATAGTAAAAAATCAACTCAACTCCTCCAAACTTGAACGTCGTGGACGCTGGAATCCCCAACGCCCCAGTATATATGTATATATATTTATATTATATATACAATTACACATAATATATATATAATATGTGTATGTATATACAGATATAGATATGTGTAAAGTTCTGTGGGAGTTTGTTTTGCATAGTTGTTGGTGCATAAACATAAACATTGTTAAAATACACGACTTTTCGTCACCACTTGATCTCAAGGCATCCCGAAGAGGTCTCCTCAAAGGAGCTTCACCCGTCCACCCGTCCCTTCGCTCCGTGTTAAAAGCGGCCCCAGGAAGCAGGGGGGAATTGATGTATTATTATTATTTTTTGAATGCTTCCATTGACTACCCTCTGGTAATTTAACATAGCTATGGTATAGATGGACCATAGAAACAGATGATTTTCCCAACTAGAAACCTCCATTTAGAATGGATTTTCCATAGCTATATGTTAAATTACCAGAGGGTAAAGGAAATCACTTTTATTTGTTTGAATCTACTAAAAGGCTGGCTCTTTGTGCGCCAAGTTTGAAACGTTCCCATGGACTGGGAAATGCTGAAATTTGTGCAGCTATGTTTGCATCAGCGGTGCCTTGCGCCCTTATTGTACATAGATAGTATATTGATAGTATGCTTTAATACAAGAATATATACACATGTACATACAATATATATATATATATATGTATTATCTACATAATATATATAATATATATATAATATAATATAATATAATATACGTACATATACATTATACAGAATGATATGCTCACAAATGATTCAATTATTCGATATCTCCGGCTGGTCCTGCTCTGCTGAGCTCCCACCACCACCTTTTTTTGGGTCACTCACATCTCTGTGGCAACAGATTTTCCAGCCAAGCTTGCAGTAGAACCAGCTACCCTACTGCAATGAGTATTGTTTACGATATTTAGAAAGTTCATGGGGCTCATACACCAATTTAGAACTAATTAAAGGGCCCCACATTGGGTCTGAATTCCGGATTCACACAGCGACCAAGCCATACAACATGTGTTGTGGTGTGTTGTGTCATATCCAGCCAGAGATTGAGAAATATATAGAGAACCAGTGTTTTTTTTGACCACTGCGACTATATTTGTTGCTATTGTGTTGGATTTGATATGGATTCCCCGGTCAATCCAGGTGATGGATGAATATTGAGGATTTAGCATGGCTAGAGCCTAAGTACATAGGGGATACATGGCAAAACAAGACTTCCCAGACAAACTACCATACCGAATTAGTCCGCTTAAATTGCTAGTAGCCTAGCTTCAAAACACCTTGCTAGAGGCAGACTAGGTGCTATAGACCAGATATGGGTCTGCCGGAAAATTGTGTGCCAAATATAATCATCCATTTCCCCTCTCTTACTGTAAATGACCATAATTTGGGTACAAAAACCATGACTTCCCAAAAAAAATCAGACCATTTACACATATATCATATATGTATATAACTTCCCCAAAAAAAAATCAAACCCTATGTATGTATATATATATATATTATGTATTATATACATACATACATAACATTACATAACATTACATAACATTACATAACATTACATAACATTACATAACATTACATTACATTACATTAGATACATACGTACATACATTCATATCCCATAGGATCCATGTATGGTATATATGCTAACATTTGGGGTATATTGATGGGATCTATGTTACCATATATAGCAGCACCATGGATCCTATGGGTATTATATCCTCATAAAAATCCCACTGAATCACCATTTTTGATGGTGAGATTCGAGAAAAACCAATCGGGGGATGGGATTCGTTCAAGCCGTGATGGAGCGCCATGGCACCCAGCGACGTGGAGGTCGTGAAGGCACCGATGTTTTCACAGAGCAATGATCATTTTTTGTCATTGATATGATCATATTATATATAACATATTCTTATATGATATATGTGATATATGATATATTTGTTGGTGTTTGATGTTTTGGCAGGCATAACCAGATGGTAAATGTTACCAGAATATACCAGAATATTGGAAACATAAAGTCAACTTAAAGTCTAGAAATATCTAGGAAAGTAGAACTTAACTGTGACCAGAATGTTGAAAACCTAAAGGACCTAAAGGACCTAATTAAAGTCTAGGAATGTCTAGGAGACCTATATCTCCTAGAACAGAAACAGTTCTGTCCATCACGTACAGATGCATGCATATTTGGGAGTTACTGTTGAATCTGGAATAGAGTCAGTTGCTGTAGGCTGTCCCGAGGTTCAGCCGCCCGAGAGCATCAAAATCTTGCCCGAAGAAGAGAGAACTCTGTTGGGAGTTACTTGGCGTTTAGAGATGAACATTTTTTTAATTTTAGTACCATCTGGTTATTTAACATAGCCATGGTATAGATGGCCCATAGAAATAGATGGTTTACCTATTAAAAATGGGATCTTTCCATGGCTATGTTAGTCATAACCAGACGGTATTTTTTTTGTAACCTCCAAAGAAAACAGAAAAGTAATGTACCAGGATGTTGATCCATTTTGTAGGATGTGACTTTTCTATTTTTCTTGGGTGCTATATCTCGAACAGAGATTGAACATCTTGGGCATTCATGGGCAAGTTACCCAATTTATGATGTTTATGGCCAATATTTATGGCCACCAACTACAATGGGGGGAGTGATTATGAACTGCGAGATTTTGGGGGGTATTGTATGTACCCAATTTTGCGCAAATCCATATCTCCAAAAAACGTTGGTTGCAACACACATTTACCCTCTGGTGAACTAACATAGCTATGGAAAATCACTAGTTTTAATGGGTAAATCCACTATTTCTATGGCCATTTTCAATAGCTATGTAAACGTTTACCAGGTAACATGATTTTTTATCCAGGAAATGTGAGGATATGATCCAACAATGTGAGGATCTGTGTGTCCAATTGAGGTGACCAAAAAGGGTATTTGGGCCTCAACAGACACTTATTCATAGCCTCCAGTGAATTAACATATAAATAATATGACAGATATGATGGAACACCTACCATTGGTAGATCGTTTCTATGGGTTTCTCCATATCTTTGCTGAAGTTTGCTGGAGGGTATGTCCAAGAAAATGGGGGAATCCACTAAAACAATGCTGACAGACAAACACACCATTTACACGATTCTGATTGATTCTGCATATTCCTGACTGATCATTGTTCTGCCTTTTGGGGCTGCAAATATGTCTGTGGTCAAAGGGAAGGCCCTTTCGCAGACATAGGCGTTTGACCAATCACGGTGATTTTTACCAACCTTGGTTTCATGGGTGCACAAGCTGTTGCGCTGAAGATGTTGCGGGATGTTGCGGGACTTCGGCTGGTGATCCGTTGAACCGTGGCCTCAGGAGCTGCTCTTTTTGAAGGTTTGGCATCTTTTGAAAAGAAATGCCGAGCCAAAAATCACCAGCGCGAAGGTTCGGCGGGTTGCTTGGGACAAGCATTCACAAACGGACAAAGATGCAGAAGCCTACTTTATATAGTGATTTGAAAGGACATGTTCTTTTTGGAACATTATTTAATTTGTTAGGATATGATGATATGGACGAACACACCAATTTTTGTTAGGTATGTAAGTTTCAACGCAGATATCCCCCTTTGGGCTACGAGTTTTTCTCCCGATTTGGGATGATCCCAGACCATCCCAGACCCAGCAGATGTTTCGGAGACGCCGGAGGTGGTTGGCATCTTGCTACAGCTTCCATTGACTGAGCTCCAGCAACTGGTGGCTGTTCCCAAGAAGTTTCAGGAACGATTCCATGAAGCTCTGGCTGTGGTAGGCTGGGCAGGGAAGCGATTGTTGGATGGCATTGGATGGCTTGCCATTCGGGTCATCTTTTTGAAGTCGGGTTCAGGATGGGTTGGTTGCGCAAGAGTTTGATAAATTCTGGAGGTACTTATAAGATATGATCGATATTGATCAACAATCCCCAATCAAATATGATCAACACATATGATCAACAATCCCCAATCAAATCAACAAATACTCGTATGATCAACAATCCCCAATCAAGATATAAAATATATTAAAATATGGTTTATTGGGGATGGTACAATGTGGTAAACCCAACAAATAAACCATCCCCAATTGGTGTTTAAGATTCGGGATCTGCCTCGATCTATTTGGGATGATCTATAGATGGACCCCCATAAACCTGGATGGTTTCTGGAATGGTTTATTATTGGGTTCAGCGCATTATAAATATGTGATCTATAGTCTATATTACATACCTGGACGTCCATTTGTACTAGAAAAAAGTATCACGAATTGAAAAGTTGACGTTTCAACAATTTCGATGACGTTTCACAAAAAAGTGGTCGCCTTCCAAAAAAGTAAACGATCTTGCTAGTGTATTTTTGCAAAGTGTACTACTTTTTCAAATTGCGCTCGAGTTGCGCAAAATTGCGCTCGAGTTGCGCAAAATTGCGCTCGAGTTGCGCAAAATTGCGCTCGAGTTGCGTTCTGTTTTTCTGACCGTTTTTGCTTGGTGCCCCTAAAAAGTAATACGTCTCAAAAAACGATACGAAGATCACTATTTTAACAAAATTTGAACGATTTTCCATATTTCACGCGTTTTCATGAAAACTAGTACGAAACCATGGGGGGGTACTTTTTTCTAGTACGATTGGATGTCTAGGTACATATATATATATATATGTTATATATATATATAACATATATATATGGGAGCCGTCCAAAAACCCCAGAAAGGTTTTTAGTAAAGGACCTATTCTCGCATTTTTCCCATGGTCTAAAACCTGCATCGCGCAAGTTTCGCGCAAGGGCGGCCCAAGGTACGCGCAAGTACTATTGTTATCATTATTACAAGTACTATTTTTAATTAACATTTTGATTACTACTACTACTACGACGACGACGACTACTACTACCACTACCACTACCACTACTACCACTACCACTACTACTACTACTACTCCTCCTCCTACTACTACTACTACATTACCACCACTACTACTACTACTACTACTACATTACCACTACTACTACTACTACATTACCACTACTACTACTACATTACCACTACTATTACTACTACTACATTACCACTACTACTACTACTACTACTACTACTACTACTCCTGCTATTACTACTACTATTACTACTACTACCACTACTACCACTACTACTACTACTACAACAACTACAACTACATTACCACTACTATTACTACTATTACTACTACTACTACTACTACTAGTACAACTACAACAACAACAACAACAACAACAACTACTACTACTACTACTACCGTATCTGATTTAGATCTGAAATATTAATATCTCGAGTTGATAAACATAGATAACCAGTGTGGTAAATAGGCCATCCAAAGAAAAAGGAGCAGATAGATAGATAGATAAATAGATAGATAGATAGATAGATAGAGATAAAGCAGCCAACGCCATGCAGCAGCAGTCCGGAGATGGTGAGCAGGAAGGTGTTCCAGAGTGGTTTCAGACCTCTTTTGGGCTTGTTTTTTGGGTACCCCCAGCTTTGGGAGATGAAAAAAGAAAGAGAAAAGGTAGAGAAAGAGAGAGAGAGAGAGAGACAGAGAGAGGAAGAGGGAAAGAGAGAGAGAGAGAGAGATAGAGAGAGAGAGAGAGGAAGATGGAAGATGGAGACGAACAGAAGGCGAGAGAGAGAGAGAGACAGAGAGAGGAAGAGGGAGAGGAGAGAGAGAGCGTTGTAAATGGTGAGCAGCGGGGTGTTTCGGAGTGGTTTCAGACCTCTTTTTGTCCGTAGGCTACCTCAGCTTTGGAGAAAAAACAGGAAAGAACGGGAAAAGAAAGAAGAGAAGGGAGAAAGAGACAGAGAGAAAGAAAAAGTCTTGAGACGGTGAGCAGGAAGATGTGTCGAACTGGTTTCAGACCTCTTTTGGGGCCGGTTATGGGGCTACCTAGTTCTTAAGACATCCAAAAGAAGGGACTCAAAACAGATTGTGCTTGAAACACATGCGGTCCGGAAAGAGGTGCAACGGTCCGGAAAAGCAAGCACCCAAAACGTAATCTAATCGTAGCGATTGCGGTCCGGAAAGGCATGCAGCGGTCCGGAAAAGCGAGCACCCAAAACGCACTCTAATTGTAGACATTGCGGTCCGGAAAGATGAGCAGCGGTCCGGAAAAGCAAGCACGCAAAACGTAATCTAATTGTAGCCATTGCGGCCCGGAAAGACATGCAGCCGTCCGGAAAAGCAAGCACCCAAAACGTAGTCTAATTGTAGACATTACGGTCCGGAAAGACATGCAGCGGTCCGGAACAGCAAGCACCCAAAACGTACTCTAATTTTAAGCAGTGCGGTCCGGAAAGACATGCAGCGATCCGGAAAAGCAAGCACCCAAAACGTACTCTAATTGTAGCCATTGTGGTCCGGAAAGACATGCAGCGGTCCGGAAAAGCAAGCATCCAAAACGTACTCTAATTTTGTAGACATTACGGTCCGAAAGACATGCAGCGGTCAGGAAAAGCAAGCACCCAAAACGTACTCTAATTGTAGCCATTGTGGTCCGGAAAGACTTGCAGCGGTCCGGAAAAGCAAGCACCAAAAAAGTACTCTAATTGTAGATATCGCGGTCCAGCGGTCCGGAAAAGCAAGCACCCAAAACGTACTCTAATTGTAGCCATTGTGGTCGGGAAAGACCTGCAGCGGTCCGGAAAAGCAAGCACCCAAAAAAAATTCTAATTGTAGCCATTGTGGTCCGGAAAGACCTGCAGCGGTCCGGAAAAGCAAGCACCCAAAAAGTACTCTAATTGTAGATTTCGCGGTCCGGAAAGATCGGTCCGGAACAGCAAGCACCCAAAACGTACTCTAATGTAGATATTGCGGTCCGGAAAGACCTGCAGCGGTCCGGAAAAGCAAGCACCCAAAACGTACTCTAATTGTAGCCATTGTGGTCCGGTGCAGCGGTCCGGAAAAGCAAGCACCCAAAACGTACTCTTATTGTAGACATTACGGTCCGGAAAGACATGCAGCGGTCCGGAAAAGCAAGCACCCAAAAAGTATTCTAATTGTAGCCATTGTGGTCCGGAAAGACCTGCAGCGGTCCGGAAAAGCAAGCACCCAAAAAGTGGTCTAATTGCAGATTTCGCGGTCCGGAAAGACATGCAGCGGTCCGGAACAGCGAGCACCCAAAACGTACTCTAATGTAGATATTGCGGTCCGGAAAGACCTGCAGCGGTCCGGAAAAGCAAGCACCCAAAACGTACTCTAATTGTAGCCATTGTGGTCCGGAAAGACCTGCAGCGGTCCGGAAAAGCAAGCACCCAAAAAGTATTCTAATTGTAGATATCGCGGTCCGGAAAGACCTGCAGCGGTCCGGAAAGCAAGCACCCAAAACGTACTCTAATTGTAGATATCGCGGTCCGGAAAGACGTGCAGCGGTCCGGAAAAGCAAGCACCCAAAACGTACTCTTATTGTAGACATTACGGTCCGAAAGACATGCAGCGGTCGGGAAAAGAGGATAGCACGAGACAGAGATGGAGACAAACAGAAGGCGAGAGAGAGAGAGAGAGAGACAGAGAGACAGAGAGACAGAGAGACAGAGAGACAAAGAGAGGAAGAGGGAGAGGAGAGAGAGAGCGTTGTAAATGGTGAGCAGCGGGTGTTTCAGAGTGGTTTCAGACCTCTTTTTGTCCTTAGGCTACCTCAGCTTGGGAGAAAAAACAGGAAAGAACGGGAAAAGAAAGAAGAGAAGGGAGAAAGAGAGGAGAGACAAAGCAAGCACCCAAAACGTACTCTAATTGTAGCCATTGTGGTCCGGAAAGACCTGCAGCGGTCCTAATGTCTACAATTAGAATTCTTTTTGGGTGCTTGCTTTTCAGGACCGCTGCAGGTCTTTCCGGACCACAATGGCTACAATGAGTACGTTTTGGGTGCTTGCTTTTCCGGACAGCTGCATGTCTTTCCGGGCCGCAATGTCTACTAGAGTACTTTTTGAGTGCTTGCTTTTCCGGACCGCTGCTCATCTTTCCGGACCGCAATGTCTACAATTAGAGTGCGTTTTGGGTGCTCGCTTTTCCGGACCGCTGCATGCCTTTCCGGACCGCAATCGCTACGATTAGAGTATGTTTTGGGTGCTTGCTTTTCCGGACCGTTGCACGTCTTTCCGGACCGCATGTGTTTCAAGTACAATCTGTTTTGAGCCCCTTCTTTTGGATGTCTTAAGAACTAGGTAGCCCCATAACCGGCCCCAAAAGAGGTCTGAAACCAGTTCGACACATCTTCCTGCTCACCGTCTCAAGACTTCTTCTTTCTCTCTGTCTCTTTCCCCCTTCTCTTCTTTCTTTTCCCGTTCTTTCCTGTTTTTTCTCCAAAGCTGAGGTAGCCTACGGACAAAAAGAGGTCTGAAACCACTCTGAAACACCCCGCTGCTCACCATTTACAACGCTCTCTCTCTCTCTCTCTCTCCTCTCCCTCTTCCTCTCTCTGTCTCTCTCTCTCTCTCTCTCGCCTTCTGTTTGTCTCCATCTTCCATCTTCCTCTCTCCCTCTCTCTCTCTCTCTATCTCTCTCTCTCTTTCCCTCTTCCTCTCTCTGTCTCTCTCTCTCTCTCTCTCTCTTTCTCTACCTTTTCTCTTTCTTTTTCATCTCCCAAAGCTGGGGGTACCCAAAAAACAAGCCCAAAAGAGGTCTGAAACCACTCTGAAACACCTTCCTGCTCACCATCTCCGGGCTGCTGCTGCATGTCTTCCGGACCGCGTTGGCTGCTTTATCTCTATCTATCTATCTATCTATCTATTTATCCATCTATCTATCTATCTATCTATTTATCTATCTATCTATCTATCTGCTCTTTAAATGTATTTCCTTGTATGTTGTGTTCAAGTCTTTTCTGTCTGTAAATTGTTCTTTTCATCAAGGTCAGCTAGACACCCCGAAGGGGTCTGAAACCACTCTGAAACCGCTCTGAAACCACAGAAGTTCAACACGTGCAGAGCTACTTCCCAGTACTACTTCCCAGTACTACTGTGTACTACAAAACTTGCACAAACCACTTCCCAGTACTACTGTGTACTACAAAGCTTGCACGAAGCACTTCCCAGTACTACTGTGTACTACAAAGCTTGCACAAACCACTTCCCAGTACTACTGTGTACTACAAAGCTTGCACAAAGCACTTCCCAGTACTACTTTGTACTACAAAGCTTGCACAAACTACTTCCCAGTACTACTGTGTACTACAAAGCTTGCACAAACTACTTACAAAGCTTGCACAAACTACTTCCCAGTACTACTTTGTACTGCATGGCTTGCACAAACTACTTCCCAGTACTACTGTGTACTACAAAGCTTGCACAAACTACTTCCCAGTACGAAATACTAAGTGAATGCTAAATATTTAACATTCGAAAACAAGTACGAGAATAATGATGAAAAACAACTGAAATGATGAAAGTGATCCGGGAGTGTGGTCGCGCAAGAAACGCGCAAGGTTGGCGCAAGCTCGGCCCAAGAGGCCTTTGTGGGAACAGTAATTTAGGACAACCCCCATATATATATATATACATATGTGTGTATATGATTGTATATGTATTTACCATCATGGATCACCGGCCTTTTCAACCACACAAGTACCTAATGTGCGACACGCAGCGTTGCCAGCATCGTTCGTATTACATGCACCGCGTTTGATCATTTGTGCTAGGACGCTCCTGAGTTATGTTAGGAAATGGCAATAGGAATGGATTGCCAACAGCTTTAATCGGGAAGTGGAATAGATTGGCTATAGCTGCATACATTCCATCTTACCTGTTAGCCTTGTACAGTATATACATATCTCTCTATCATAGGTTATCTATGGTTATCTAAACATTGACTTCCTCAAGAGATCATCCCAGCGTCTCCATTTGTTTCAGGGTCACACTGTGCAGCAAAAGTCTGATGGAAACTCAACAGTTCTTTGTGTTCAACTGTTTCTTGGACAGTAATATACAGTAAGATCCTACCCCCATGTGGTTTTGGCTCAGAAACATTCAATGGCTTGGAAACATGTCCAACTTATTACCAGCTGTTGGTCCACAAACCGGGAGCAGCCAGGTGTGCAGATCGTCACCGATGGGCCAGAGGGCAAGGCTCTTCCAGCCCCTCCTTTGGAACGTCAAGGTCAACTAATGTACCTGGCTCTGAGACTTGGCTCCCCGATCTTTCAGCTGGGGCCCACAAAAAAAGGGGGAATGGGAATGGATCAAGAGCCTGAAACCTATGGGATGTGATCTACGAATGACATGTTTTTTGTGTTGGCTCGGTCCCGAGGAAGGGCTTGGTCGCTGGAGATCATTCGCTCTGTTCCTTCCTATCTGCGAAGCTCATGCGTCAACTGGGCGCAGAAGTGATGCCCTGCCTGGTCGACGAGTGTCTTGCTGCGTGACCCGGGGGATTGTTGTGATTGGGTGCATCTGAATGGCTGTGGTTCAAACTGAACTTGCCAGAAAAAAAAATGATGAGTTTGGATACCATTGTTATTTTTCCAGGAATTCTTCGAACCCATTCGGACTCGTTCGAACCTTACCAACATATACTCTATGCATCACAAAGCCGTACCCCTTTCAAGACCGCTTGGAAGGTCTTCACAAAACACATTCAAAAACCATGCGCCACCTCTTCAAGAAGAGAACAGGTTGTTGCGTGCTTCTCTTTGATCTTGACAAGGTAAAAAAGAAACATGCGTGACGTGAAAACCGGTTTTGAACGACAACACCTTCAGAAAGCCAAGGACCACCATGTCAGGTAGGTGAAACTGTGAGTACTCAAACTGCACCGCAGAGACATAGACAGTGGCTCAACGTGAATGCATTGGAATTACGGTTGAATTTTTGCCAGGCAGGTCTGTTTTTTTTTATTCAATGCCTTGAATCAACTTCAGCCCAACTCAGCCTTCCCATTTCTGACTTTTGGACATACAAATGGCCATATCCAGTAGAAGAATCGACTCTGATTAGCCATATGTTCACCATCTTCTCGATGCCGAGGAAGAAACTGCGCGCAGCCATGAAATCGATGACCAGGAGCTGGGAAAGAGATCTGAAAGAGCAGGAAGCAGCTCAGAGCCCTGGTGGACATTGGGAGACCCAAGATGGGAGGATCCAGAGGGATTGGGGAGGACACAGATCGACAGTTTCCCCCCATGGGAAGCCTCAAATCTGATGATGTTTGGGAACCCCAGCTTTGGATCTCTGGGAGCCAAAAAAAGGACCTTGCTGAAAGAATTTGAAGCCCTGGAGCCGCAAGCTCGCGCACAAGAGTTGATGAAAGCAGGTGCAGAATTCACTCCTGGTGGACCAGGTTGCGGCCAAAATGTTTGTTGCTGACTACCCCATTTAGGCCCCAAACAAACCTACAGCATATCTACGGTGTCTTTCGTGCATCTTCTGATTTTTCTCACCATGTGCTGTTGCTGAAATCCCATAAGACGGTCAGTGTTCACCAGCCATTGTGCTGGTCTGTGCAGGCCAAGAAAGTGGTCAAAGTACCAAAGCCAAGGCTGGCCTGTCAATGTTGAGCTTCAGTGCACTGAGAAGGTGCATGGCATAGTCTTATAATCTTCAAGCCCAAAGAAAAAAGTAAAACATATTTTTAAAAACATAGTAAAACATAGTAAAAAACCTACCAATGTTTCTATCTTTGGGGGCTATATAGCGGCATATGGCGATCTCACAACGACCCGTGAATGCTTCTGATTGCTGGGGTGATACACAAAAAGGTGGACGGAGGTGGATGGACGGATAGGCCCCAATGTGAGAGCCCATGGTATCGGTCAGGACTGTGACTTCTACGAAAACACAACTATTGATATCAACATAGTCAATATATGTTGTTCATTTTTGTCAAAATCGATGTGTATAATATGTGTATATACACATATGATATGAAATATTAATATATGTAACATATGTGTATGATCTTTGGCTTCCATTAATATGACTTTGTGTCTCTGGCATTGCGTGCACTGCCCAGACTGCCCAGCTGCTGAAAGCTGCCAGAAAGGTGGCAGCTGAACCGCAGGCCCTCGGCCCGGCGGGCCGGGGGCGTTTTTTTTTCATCAGACTGTTGCTGGACAAGCACCATTTGTTATAGGTAAATATGGGTAAATCATTGGAAAATCATCATGTTGATGATCTATAAATGGTTTTCCAATCTAGCAAATTGTTCAATCACCAGACTGTTCAATCACCAGAAGGTAACTATCTAGAAATTGGGAGATTTCAACAATAGGCATAGAGTACAACCAAAGATTCGCTGGTGGTTTCAACTGTTGAAATAGGATGGTGGTCCTCAGTGATTATGTCTGGAATATCTGGAATCGTTTGAAGCCACCAATCAGGGAAGCTCAACCAATCAATGGAGTGGTTGAAGGAAAAAAGTGCAGGAAAGCCTCATATCGAATCGGAAAATCTATGGTTTGCTGTAGATTTTCCCTCAAACCAATCCATTGAACCAAAGAAATGTAGAAGGGAAAATTTTGATCCAGGGCAAGAACAATCAGGGCAGAACCAGCAGACTTTGGGGAGATTATAAGCAGTAAAGAATGGTGTTTTTTCAACAAAAATGGGGGCTGAACCGGAAAACATAGGGAGATGTTTATCAAGTATAAGTAAAGCAACCAACATACGGATTGGACAAAGGCGGCATGGGATTTGACTTCGACAAGGCATGCATTGAACTAACCAGAATATAGAATGGGGAGGGGACACGTTGTTTCTTCTTTTTGAGGTGAATTGTTTTGTTTTTTGTTATTCTTATGTGGAATCCAATGTGCTTCTTTGTTTTCTTCCTATTTGCTTTTCGGTTTCTTTGCTTCTCAACGTTCAGCTTTTCTGCTTGTCGGTTTTTCCTTCGCTTCTCTTTGATTGTTATTCAGTGTTTCTGTTATTGTTCTGTTTATGTTTGTTCTTGCGATTCCTATCTGGGTGCTTCTTTGCTTCTTTTGCTTCTCAGCTTTGCGAGTTTTTGCGTTTCCACTGCATCTGCTTCTCTTTTCCCATATGTCGTCTCCTTCTTGCTTTCCTTTGCTTGTGCTTCTTCTGCTTTAAGCTGCTTGGCTGCTTTCCGCACAGTTTTTTTAACTGTTGTTTTTATGTGTGCCTCTGTGAGTTACATTGCAGCCGGAAACCTAAACATACTCTGCCTTGAAGAGCCCCCAAAGACCCCGCAAAGACACCCACAGAAACCTTAAACAAAGTCTAAGCAATTTCTCAACGAACCCCTAAACAAACCCTGAACACATCATAAACATGCCCTAAACAAACTTTCAACAAATTATATAACCACTTAAAACATATTAAACAAACCTTAAAGAAAACCTAAACACAACCTAAACCAACGCAAAGAAATCCCCAAAGAAAGTCCAAAGAAGCCCTAAAACAGGGGCCCCAAACAGAGCCCAGACATATTCTGAACAACAAGGAAAGATGGGGAAACGGGATTTTTTTTTGACGAAGCAGAATGAGTCTTGCTTCAGTTCCAACATGGTCAGGTGGTTGGCAAAATGATTGCACAAGCTTTTCTGGCGAGTGGCCAGTCGTCGGCTGCCTCAGTGATCGCCATTTCCAATGGGAGATGGGTCAACGAAGTCAACAAAGTGCTGCGCCACACCGTTGTTTTGCCCCCCCAAAACATAGTGGTTCCTTGTAGAAGTCTACCGAAAAAGGACAACATAAATTGTGATGGGGATGTAAAATTTGTGATTCCCAATCCCCCAACAGCTATAGATGTCTCCCAGTGAGGTCATAAATTTGTTGTCTACCCCTGGTGCTTGGGCCAGGTTGACGCTGCCCTTGGTGCTTCTGTGGCCCAGCGGGAAGGTCGTGGCTACTCCAAAAACATCATCCATTTATATTATGGGGATGGACGAACACCTATATCATTGTACCATTTATTATTGGAGGGCAGGAACATGGATGAACATCAATGTTCCGTCCTTTTTTTCGAGTGTAGCCCCCCCGTCAAACGAATGCTGTACTTTCTTTAAAGTTGAGTTTTAAAAAAGCTGTTCCCCAAATAAAATACGATCATACATTTAAGTACGGATTTTAATTGGCGACGATGAACATCTAATTATTTTTTTACCGGTAAACTTGTGGTACTGGTAGTACTTGTAGTGATTGGGGTTCAGAATGTTGTTTGCGTTCCCTTTTGCACCTCAAGGTTTTATGAAAGGTGTAACAAGGAAAGAGAGAGAGGACGAGAAAGAGAAATAGGAAGAGATAGAGAAAGAGAACGAGAAAGAAAAAGGAAAAAAAACAGAACGAGAGAGAGAGAGAGAGATAGGGGAAGAGGAAGAGGAAAAGGAAGAGGAAAAGGAAGAGAAAGCAAAAGAGAAAGAGAAAGAAAAAAACATAAAGATAACGAGAAAGAAAAAGAGAAAGAGATACTATTGTTTTGAGAAAAAAACATGGCCTGCCATTTTTTTAAGCCAAAATAGCGAACCTAGCTGATAATCAGGATCCAACATGACTAGCTATTTTGGTGTTCACCAGGGTACTGGGATTTGGATTCATAGCCATATATAAATCACCGGAAGCAAACAAAATACTGCCACACCGACTAGATAAGGTTCACAAAAGAAGTAGCAAGTTCAAGCCATATTGCAACGGTTCTTTCTGATTTCTGAGGTTCGGGCCTGCAAGATACTAGACCCACACTTCACCCATGTTTACTGAACATTAGATGGCACCCGTTGTCGATTTCCATTGCTACAGCTCCTACCTGTGGTTTTCACAGCGTTTCACAAAAACCGATGGTACCTTTGCGCAAAGGTTGGAGGAGTGTAGCGTTTCAAGAGAAGAGTTGGCAGCATTTGGTGCGCGTTTGCCCAAACCTCCTCAAGAGAAAGGTGGGGCCCACAGGATGAAGATGTATGATTTGTACTGATTTGTTTTCCCTCAACATATTTTTTTTGAACGTACATTTTAGGTGACTATAGCACATGTTGGAGAACTTGACTGTTTGATATTTGGATGACTTTTGAGGTAGATTCCAAGTAGCATAACTGTCACTATATCTGGATGATTTGCGTGATAGTGCTATGATCATGGGATATTCAGAAGCATACCTTAAGACTTCCAAGAGTCAACCACCACTTACTTGGCGGTACGTTGCCCACAGAAGAGCGGTGTTCTCACCCACCGCAGGTGAAAAGCAGCAAACGAGGCAGGGAATGTCAACCGGGGATGAGGCTGGCTGGCTTTTTAGCCACGAAAAGGCTGTTGAATTGGGCGCCTACCATGTTTCGCCCACAAATTCTCGCTATTTCGGAGGAGGCTTCTGAAGGCTTCAAGGCTTCAGTTTTTTTTGAGATCAACCAACCATGGCTTGCTATTCGGGTGGACATCAATAGCAGGAAATTGGAAATTGGTAGTCCTTCGTCACGAAGTGTGAGATCATAGCAATCCACAAAAACATACCCTCTGAGCCTCTGGTAAACTGTTACATAACTATGGAAAATCACCATTTTTAATGGGAAAATCCACTATAAATGGTCATTTTCAATAGCTATGTTAAATTACCAGAGGGTAAGACAAAGCATAAAGTCATATGGAGGTTTCCTAAAATAGGGCTACCCAAATGGATGATTTACAATGGAAAGTCCTACTAAAATGGATCATAGAAAGTCCTGTTGATATGAAGTAGAGGTAAATTCCACCGTTCCTTGTTTTGTTGGCTTACCATCCCTAGCGGCAATTAATCGTTTTTTACAGGTCAAAACCCACCAGTGGATCAGCTGGCCTTGCGCACTCCGATCTCTTGGTAGGTCTGCTTCACGGGCTCCGAAGAGAGGCCTTGACATAAAGAGAGGGGGAGATTTGACGGAGGAACATGAGGATTTACCATCCCCATAGGATCCATGTATGGTATATATGGTAACATTTACCATCACTATACCCCCAATGTTAGTATATATACCATACATGGATCCTATGGGTTATGACTAACATAGCCATGGAAAATTGTTAAAATCCCTGAAATACCATGGAGGTTAAGAGGCTGGGAAAAAAAAATCTATTTCGATTAGGGCATACCATGGCTATGTTAGTCATAACCAGAGGGTACAGCGAAAATCACTGGATTCAAGGTTTGAGATCTTAGCAGGAGAAAGAGGTCACTGATTGGCATCCACCCATCAGCAATGGGGGACTTAGGCATTACAAGAACCACCCGGGTGCATTTGGATATCCACAGCTAAGCTGTGACTGGCAGATAGCCCCCTTTCTAACTGGTAACTGGTATAGTCAGCTGGTTGATCTCAGACCCACGCAAGTAGTTGGGAACCAAGTAGGTACATATGTTTGGATTTCCATACGTAGGTGATGCGTAGGTATTTTCACATGTTCGGGATGGGTAATTATTCAACTTGCAAATGGCCAGTTCATTTCTGGGTCCAAACAGGTCTCGTTTTCTGCGAAGTTTCCATGGTTTTGGGTTGAACAGGATTGCTGAACATCTATGCTTCGGTGATTCCGCATGTGCCGGCAGAATGTTCTAGGTTTTGAAGCGCATAGGTTAACAACACGTTGTAGTGTCGTGGATCCCAAATCCAAACCAAACCTTCCTGGACCGGTCTTTTTTTGCGCAGAACGATGTGAAATCGATCAACATCCTTATTTGACTGAATTTCCTTGAAGTTCATCCAAAACCAATGAGTTGTGGATGTCGCTGGCTGCAAGGTTTCTGCATGACATGTAGTTTTATCTTTAGTTTTTGATGTTCAAAAACATCAAAAATTACCCGCAAAACTCACAGAACAAAAGTGTCAAATTCCCGCAAAAAAAACGTCAAACTCCGCAAGTCCCAAAAAGTCATGCAATCGAATCTGCTAGAACCCACCTGACTGATCACGTCATCGACTGGTCACTGAAAAGTTCATTGAAACTCCTGAAATTCTGAACTTTAAAGCAAGACATGCTAGAAATTTCTCGGAAAAGGATGCTCCAGGTTGAAATACCCCCCAACTCTCCAAAAATGCGATGCGGCTACGGGGAGGCCGCGACGCAGAGAAGCGCGCGGCCGAAAAACGGAGGGCCAGTGCTGATGGACGAGGTCCAGGTTGGAGGTCCTAGAGGAACCTGAGTTTTGGTTCTCCGTCCACAGTGTTCCAGAGTGACGTGTCATCAATGTGGAGCAGTCGACGACGAGTTTTTGTTGGAGCTTCGTTAGTTTTTCACCGCAGTGCATTTCTCGGATGTGGGTCAGAAATTCCAGGGACCCGCACATTTTGCCGCTTCGTTTGCCAAAATTGTGACCCATAGCCATAGCATGTAGATCCATGGTGTGCCTGCAGGGATCGGCCAATCGGAAAGTGGTCCATCCGCGCACCGCAAGGTCAACGTCCCATGGAGCGAGTTGCTACACCAAGCATTTCAGCATCTCGCGTGGCGAGCACGGGCCTTGGAAGTGGCAGATTTCGATGAAACTCCAGAGTCAATCTGCTGATTCTTCAAGAGTTTTGGAGATCATTCACTCTTCACATCATACTAGTAGTTCATGAATGACCCCTTTACACAAGCA